TTAGCATAAATAGATAAAGAGCTATCTATTTATGGACTGGTGTGATCAAATGGTAGTAAAGAAGTGATTGGAAATAATAATAATAAACTCGAGGCATAGTGTTTTCACACTACAAATGACTAAAGTCAATCATAGAAATTCCATCCTTGAAAGTAAGACCACTGTTGTCTTGTCAATTCGAAGCAAAGAAAAAAATGGTTCTGCTGAATTACATGTATGCAATTTGTGATATTTTCAATTAAAAAGACCAAGAAACTCCAAGTCAATTTGCGAAATTGATGAGACCAAGTGTAAATTTCCAAGGTTACGTCTTCAAGGGGCCTTATATGAAACATGCACGTCACCACGCGCTCTGGACTTCAAGTGAATTAATTGAGGGGTAATTGCCCTTGACTTTTTGCACCTATATATAAGCTTTATTTTAGTCATTCATTTCAGTCAATGAATTTTAAGTCTTGATAAAGACATGCAATAGCTATTGGTTTTCGACTCACCCAAGACGACATCACCTTGGACATAAGTACGATACAAGGCAGCCATTTGGTTTTCGACATCACCTTTCCATTTAATATACTACCTAGTGTGTTGTTGGTTGCAAAATTGACTGAGTCTAAAGTTACAATGGTTGGTGACCTGGTACGTTGAACGGGATCTGTAAAAGCCTTTTGCTTTATACAAGAAAGTGGTAAACTCAACCAGATCCTATACCGATGTCTATAATTATGCTAATTGTGCAAAGGACCCACTATAATAATTGCTCCTCCAAGCAAGATTCTAGGTTCGAGTCCTAGTATAAGTGTACTGTGTGTGAATTTAGTATATTATTGCCCCTCTCAATAAAAAAAAGTCCTAAAAAAAACAAATCATTATGCTAATTGTTTTTTTCTCAGAATTTTCAAAAGTCCAATTCTATACGATCTGTTAACTCCTTAGGACCAAACAACATCAAGGAAAAAAAAATCTGAAAAGAAAAAGACCCAAGTAATCAAATTAATAAAAACTCTGTCAAAAACCCAAAGCAAACTACACAAACGGAGAAATGCACGTACGTACCTTGAAGCAGAGACAAAAATGTAGCCATCTAGGAGAGCCTGGAGAGAGGGAATGGAAGCATCGCACAATCAAAATAGAAGCTAAAGTAAAAGATCTAAAACACTAATTATTGTTTTTGGGTTTGGTCTTGTAAAACAGTACATGTGTTCCGTTCCTGTTGAAACTCTTTGGCATGGTTGAGGAGGACACCCTAGACTAGAGCCCAACATTCGAAGGAGAGCACAATGACCTGAGAGCTCCCTGACACTGCAAAAAAAGTGGCAACAGTCACCATTTTGTCACCAATTTTGGTGACTGTTGTGGGGCTCACTAAAGGCTTTAGTCACCTTTTTTGACTTTTTTGGTGACTAAAAAGGCTTTCAGTCACCTTTTTTGCTTTTTTTGGTGACTAAATCCTTTAGTAACCCCCACAAAAGTCACCGAAACTGGTGACAAAATGGTAACTATTGCCACTTTTTTTTGTAGTGTGAACATTGCCGGGTTGATAACCATTTCTGTTTTCACTTTTTAGTTTTCAATCTTTAGTTTTTATTTTTTTTAAACTGAAAAACATGAAACTTATTTAGTAACTATTTTCAGTTTTAAGTTTTATATGGATCTTGGAAATGAACGGTTTCTTCAATTCAAATTGTGAATTTGATGTCAAGGAATGAAAGTGCATCTTCAAAAGAGTAAGTAGCATTTTTTTCATTGACTTTTCGGAGTTAGAAAGAAGTTATGGTGAATTTTGAATTATGAGATCCGGAAGAGCGTCGACTTTGACTTTTGAATGGCCCCGGCCAAAAGTTAAGAGAGAAAAGAATAGAATAGCCCATCACTCCAAACAAAAATAGCACAACCAAAATAGCCCAACACTTGATAAAGTTAGCCCAGTTATTTGATAGATCAACATTTTGTCTTAGAAGGCCCATACAATTAGGACAAAGAGGCAGCAAAACCCCAACAGCTGGATAGAAAACAAAGCCAAGGGTGAAGATTGAAAGGTCATGTGTGCAGAGCTACTGGGAGGCTCCAACACGTGGGAAGGAACAAGTTTCAAGCAAGAAACACCCAGCGAACCATGGGATGTTGGCGCGCAAAGTGGGAATCATCCTTCGAACCAGCATGTATACCCATTTCTTACCTTCATCAGATCTGACCATGAAAGAGGAGAGGAAAGAGAGGAAAGGGGATGGCTGAAAATAGGAATTCTTCACTAGGGCTGCTGCGGGAAAGGGACCTTGAGCTCCCAAAATCCCTGATTTTTTGCAAAGGAGCAAAGTAGATTTCACCAAAATAGGATGATTGAAGGGATGAAGGAAGAAAGGAAGGGAAAGACTTGGCCAAATGGGATGGAAGCCATTAGGGTTTCTAGGAAAAAGAATGGCTTCCAGCGGCTATAAATAGGGCCTCTTCTACCCAATAAAAATCATCCACAACCAGATAGCAAGCTTCCCCTCTTACTTCCAAAACAAACAAATTTTGTGCTTAGTTCATCTTCTTCCTCCTCAGTTTTCCTTTTTGGCAGACTGTTCTAACACTTGACAGAACCTCTGTCAAGCTGCCGGAAAAATGCTCAAGCCACCATTTTCTCTTTTTCCCTCATTCTCAACCAAACCTCTCTGCAAAACCCTTCTCTCCTACCTTAATACCCCATCTTTCCCCTAAGGAACACTTAAATTCTCTCTTCAGTGCTAAACTCATGACAACTTTGCTCCCATGCCACAAGCTTCTCATGCCAAGCTAAGATTCTACCTGTAAGCACTAAGAATTTATATGTAAGCAGTCATTATTTTTGTTGGTGAAGGTAACCAATGTGTTTCCTAAGGCTTCACTATCCTTTCGAAACATTTTGGGGTATGATCTTTGACTCAGACACAAGGGGTAATTTCATCTATTTTGCTCTTTACGGCAGCCCAGCTCATTTATAGCTGCCAGAAGAAAAAGGCCCCTACACTTTTATTCAAACTAGGTGGATAAAAAGTACGGTGACTTTTTGCAAGAATACAAGTCTCACACTGAAAATAAAAAAAATTTACTCTACTAAATAGAGATGGAATCAAAGATTGCAAATAACCAAAGGAAACATGACCCAACCGCTGATGCAATAACCAAATCTTCTTATGTTTCTCACTGACAATACCCCGAACTTGATAAACACGATCCGGTGCAATGTCATCCACATAGTAAAGCCCTCCTCTCTTAAGGGACGAAAACTTTGGATAAGCACCTTCAAGGGCGGAACTAGCCCAGGGAAGGTTTTAGGGAAAAAATAATTAAATAGCCTAATATTTTTAACTAAAAATAAATAAAAAATATACAATTGCATATCCTACCACACCAATATGCATAGTCAAAGGTCTTCCACATTTGTATTTGGTGTCAAAGTTTATCCCAAACATCAATTTTAATCCTTTTACATTAACGTTTCTCCAAAAGAGAAGCATTTTTCAAAATAAAATTCACCCTTTCGTGAATAATATGGCTCTAATTCACCCTTTCAAAATAAAATTCACCCTTTGGTGTCAAAGGTTTTAGGCTTTGAATTTAGCTAAACGTTAGGAGTTTAAAAGGAGAAACGTCAGGAATTTAGAAAGGAATTTATTAAATGACATGCATAAAAAATCGTGGAAATTGGGGCATCAAATTTCCAAGTCTAATTTCCATCAAAATAGGCAACATTTCACAATTTCCATAGTGTCATTTACAAAATTCAACATATATAAATTCAAACACTGAAATCTTCAATTGCCAAAATGATGTAAACCTAAAGCGCGCCCTTTACATTACATGTTACATGTTGCGCTTGCATTTTACTACGTCAGATTTCATCTACTATTTTGATGAAACTTATTAATTGAATTTGATTGCAGACCAAATCAAGTTACAGTATTACGGAGATCAAACATATAATTTAGTATTTCTTTAGGGGTTCATTCTTCTTCTTCTACGTTCTTAATTATTTTAGTCAAATTTTATTTATTTATGCATCAATCTTATTGATATTTCTTTTCTTAATTTGAAAGATATTAAAAATAAAAATAAAAATTTGAAATATGAGAAAAAATTATTATTTTTAACTTTTGAAAGAATTTTTTTAGTAATATAGCTCATGAACTCAAATCTGGGATCCATAAGTGCTTGGGCTGATGGGGTTTTTTTTTAAATTTAAAATTCTTATTTTTAAATATTATGTGAATATTTGATTACCCCTAAACAAATAAATAAATAAAATGTGTGTTGAAACCAATTGTCCCACATCGGAAAGAGGGAAGGAGAAAGAGTGCTTTAAATAGATTTTCCCCACTCTAATTAATACCGAGGCCTTTTGTGATAAAACCCCACACCTGAGGATTGTGCAGGTGGTAACAAATTGAAAAGACTTTATGTAGGATTACCGCAGAGACAACTATAAAAAGTGAAAAATAAAAAAGGTAGTTGACTTGCTTAATTAGTTTATGTGTGCTTACTCCACCCGGTTGGCGTACTCCACAGTGTTCAGTTTTTAATTAAGTCATAGTTCAAGGATAGGAAATGAAGAGAAAAGAAACAGGAGAAAGAGGAATGAAGGGATGCGGCGGAGAGAGGTGCATTGGGTTAGGGTGCGGGTGATTGAGTTGCACCCAATGTACTGTTTGCTCTTTTGCATCTGAGGCTTTGGAAAGCTTCAATTTCATTTCATCCAATGTACTCCGTGCTCAATTAATGATTAAAATCATTTTATTACATTATGAAGGCAGAAAATCCAAATACACCACAACTATAAAGATAGAGCAAGGTTACGTGAATGAAGGAAAAACAAGAAAGCAACTCCAAATGCATGACCTTATAACAAACTATACTTCTGCATCCCCCACTCTACCCACAGAACAACTCCAAAGATAGAGCATGGTTACATGGAAGAAAAAACAAGAAAACTACGCCAAATGCTTGACTTTATAACACACTGAATTTCTGCATCCCCAACTCTACCTTTTCCATATCATTAGCCTAACCATTTCAACGATCTTAAGAAACAACTCCTGCCTTCTTGTGACCACGAAATCCGCAAGAACCACTCCCACTACAAACCCACTTCCAATTCCAGCCAAACAAAATTTCAAATCAAATTCAAGCGTTCGAGTTGAGCCTGAATCACTGTCTTCTTCAATTGAAGGTGGTGGTTGAGGGGCCTCTTGATTTCCGCATTTTGGTAATGGATCTCCACACAATCCTGGGTTTCCCTCATATGAAGTGCTATTCAATGAAGTAAGTTGGGTACCTTGCGGTATAGGACCTGTGAGATTGTTGTAAGACACATCAAAGTTCCCAAGGAATGTAAGCCTTGTCAGTTGTTGGGGGATCTGTCCTGACAGCTTGTTCTGTGAAAGGTCCAACGATTCAAGATTCCTTAAGTTCCCCAAGGATGATGGAATAGAACCAGTGAGAATGTTGCTGGAAATATTGAGTGAGCGAAGCTCCTTAAGGTTCCCAATGAATTCTGGAATTTTACCTTCAAATTTGTTGCTTGAGATATCAATGGCTGCAAACCCTTCTCGAACCTTTGAATAGTACAAATCCAAACCTTTAATTGCTAATGTGATTGAGTAATCAACACTCCGCCCAACATAAAAACCATTGAAGTCATAGGCTACTCGTGTATACATGTATGTTGACTTATTTACAATAATATCTGGAAACAAAGGTGGAATCTCACCTGTGAAATTGTTGAAAGACAAATCAAGAATGCGTAACTTGGGGAAGTCAACATTTGTTCTAGACTGCCCTATTACACCTTTGAAGCGATTATGGCGCATTGCCAAAAGTTTTAACTCTGGAAGGGTCCCCAACCAAATGGGAAAAACATCACTGAATTGATTGTTTGACAGAACCAGATACTCAAGTTTCACACAATTCGCCAATGACCTCGGTAATTGCCCCTCCAATTGGTTATGACTAACATCAATCATCTGCAAATTGCTTCCGTTGTTGTATGATTGAGGCATCATGCCCTGAAAAGAGTTGCTTCCAAGAAGTAAAAGGATTAGACGATCACTAAAGTTTCCGAGACACTGAGGAAGCATGCCACTCAAGTTATTTTTGACATGTCAAGGAACCCAAGAGAACTCATATTGCAAAGCAATGGTGAAATTTCTCCAGTAAAATTGTTGTTGTCTGCTCCATATTCTACCAGGGATGGTGGAGGGATAGGTAATCGTCCATGAAAATTGTTGACCGAAAGCCTCAAGCATATTAGGTTAACCCAAGGAAAGACAGCTGGAAATTCTCCTGAAATTAAGTTTCCAGAAATGTCCAGGAATACCAGAGTTTCCTTGCCTATGTTCCACATCCAGTTTGGTAGCTCACCATGGATTTGGTTTCCTGCCATATCCAACCGCTCCATCTTTGTTTGATTTCTTAGGAAATATGGGACCTCTTTTAAATTGCATGAACTCAAACCCAGAATGGTGAACTGTCGAATAGTTGCGTTCATAATATTGGATCCAGTAATAAATTCAAAGTTGTTCCAACTCAATTGGAGTTGGTAGAGATTTTGTTGCTTATGAAACATTTGAAACTCCACTACACCACTCAGGTTATTTGACTGTAGATAAAGGATCTCGAGATTGGTGAGATTGGAAAATGAGGCAGGAATTGAACCAATCAACCTATTAAAAGCAAAATCTAGGTAAACTAGTTTGCTAAAGTTACCTAGCCAAGATGGAATTGGACCAGTTAAAGAACTGTACTAACTCTAAACACAGTCAATTGGGTAAGGTTTCCCAAAGAATCAGGAATTGGACCTCCAAATCTGCTTGCTGAAATGTCTAGGTAAGTGAGCTGTCTTAGATTGCCAAGTGCAGAAGGAACCAAGGAGTTTGAAAAATTGCATTGAGCGACATCCAACTCTTGCAATGAATTAAGCTTTTCAATCGAAGAAGGTATTGTTCCGAAAAACATAGTAAACCCAACTCTCAGTGAGATGAGAGGACTACTTCGATTAAATTCGGGTAAATATCCAGTGAGATCTTGGTTGTATCTCACACTAAGAGCTTCTAAGTTTTGTAGACCGAAAATTCTCACTGGGAATTTGCCAAACAAATCACATTTCCTGAGGGCAAGGGATGTTAAAAATGATAAATTTGTCAAGGAAACGGGTATAATCGATGATATGTTGATGAAACTGAGATGAAGAGTTTCTAGACTAGTTAAATTTTGAACCAGACTTCTCATATCGGATGGTTGAAGTTTCAACAATCGCTGAGGATTACCAGGATTTCCATTTTCAAGAACATTGCAACACAAATTAAGGTATGTCAACTTGGACAAGTGTGAGACTTCATATGGGACTTGACCAGAAAAGAAAGAGAAAGAAAGGTCAAGATGAGTGAGGCCTGGAAAATTTCTTATGCTAGATGGAATTTGAGAGTGATTGAAATTATTGTCAGAGAGGCTTAACCTTTGAAGATGCACCAGGCTGAACAAGCTACTATTGGAGTCGAAAGAGCCGTAGAGATAACTGCTGCTAAGATTAAGGCCAATAACATGACCCGTCATCTCGTCACACTCCACGCCATCCCACGAGCAGCAGGTGCTATTTCCTCCTTCATATGGTTTCCATGATGAAACCTTTGGATAAGCACCGTCATTATTTGAAGCAAATGTGTCAATCATAAAGCTCCCCTTGAACTGCAGCAAGGCAGAGCGCTCCTCATCATGGCAAGACGGCTGCTGCAAAGAGTTTACAAAGTTTGCAACCACAAGATGAAACAACAACAGAACTAGTAGTTTCGAGAGCATGCGAATCGACAGGTGAATCCCCATAATTTTTTGATATTTTTTGTTTGCACTCTTTGCTAAAGAATCATCTATGAAAGTTAAAGCTAGAGAGCTATCTATTTATAGACTGGTAATCCAAATCGACACGTTGCCCATAATTTTCTTGATACTTTTTAATATTATTCGAGCAATAGCGTACACGTGTCAAGTAACAATTTAATATTATTTGACATTTTGATCAATATAGAAGTGATGGGATAATACACATGTCAAGTATCTATTTATGGCATGAGGTGACTAAAGTCAACAACTCACGAACTGATTAATAAAAAGGTAAATGCAAAGAAATAATCATCACAGAAAATTCTATCCTTGCAATTAAGTGCCAGCGAAAATTCTATCATTGCAATTACATATGATTAATTCGATGTCTATTTTTTTTTCAATTAGAAAGACCACAAAACTTCAAATCAATTTACCATTATATTCGATGTCTGTTAAATTGATGATGTGGCAAGCAGAAGAGAGGTCTCTCCTCTGTATATCTTCAACTTGGATTCAGCATGGATGATGCAGCACCACCCAGCCCATAGCATTTGGAGCGTTCGTTATTGAGCCAGTGCAAGATTTTAATATTCAGTTTATAAACAGTTCTTACTTGCGCATTGCCCTTGTATTTCCAATATTTTAAAATATTCTTTTCTTTGCCCTCTTAAGCTAAATAACCATCCCTGAAAGTGAAAGAGCTATCTATTTATGGACTGGCATGATCAAATGGCATTGCATATATACGTGTACATAGTAAATAACTATTTAATGTTACTCCGAATTAACCATCTTCATCAAGAATATTTATTGACATTTTGATCAATGAAGAAGTGATTGGAAATAATAATAATAATAATAAAACTCGAGGCGTGGTGTTTTCACACTGCAAATGACTAAAGTCAAGAACTCACCATCACAGAAAATTCCATCCTTGAAAATAAGAACCACTGTTGTCAATTCGAAGCTAAGAAAAAAATGGTAAATTGAGTTGAAGTTTCTTGGTCTTTTTAATTGATAATATCATAAATCGAATATATGCAATTGACAGGGACCCTTTTTCTATTGTTTCGAATTGACATAATTGCAAGGATGGAATTTTCTGTAATGAATATTTGGTTGCATTTACACTTGTTTATTCAGATCCGAGTTCTTGACTTAAGTAATCTTGAGTCTTAAAATACTTCTTTATTGATCAATACGTCAATAAATATTTTCCCTTCAAGTATATGCAATGCCACTGTACGTATCCTTAAGTCATCTGAAGAGAAGTTTCTGCTGAATTAGAAGGAATCCACCTTAACTGTAGAACTACATTATAAGAAATTTAAAAGATCAGGGTATGTGATTGTTAAAACATGTCTTAAGAGTGTAATCACAGGGTACTAAACTGTAATTAACCCAAAAATAAAAAATTATGCGACGATTATTTGGTTGCATGTCTTTATCGGTACGTGCTTGACTTGAACAGAGGGGCTGGGTAGCATCCAGAGTGATTAGCAAATTGACTTGGAGTTTCTTGGTCTTTTTAATCGAAAATATCACAAATTGCATATATGTAATTTACCAGAACTTTTTTTTTATCTTGGGGCTTTTTAACAAACATGCACGTCACCATGTGCTATGTACTTCAAGTGAATTAATAATAGGGGGTTAATTTTGGTAATTTCCGTCGACTTTTTGCACCTATATAAGTTCATTTAGTCATTCAATTCAATTAATGAATTTTAAGTCTTCGTATTTCAATCCTTTTGGTGAATTAAAAAGTGTAAATCAATAGTTTTAATAGAAAAGTTGATATATATTCAAATTCCTAATGAGGAGTTGGGTTAGTCCTCGGATTTGGTGACTTCGATCCAAGTCCTTTGACTTTTGTTCCATAGAGAATTACATTCCTTTTTAAATATTTTCGACAATGTGTTATGTACCTTTTTTTTATTTATAGGTAACATACAATTTTATGTTGTCTATTTTTGTATCTGACTTATAGATAATCTTCTAATTTATGTTCAGATTTTTTTCATTGAAGTTTTGGTGTTGGATGATGAGAAGGGGTATGTTTGGCGTTTCTTTGGGGTCTATGCAAGTACTGATGATAAACAGCGGAAGGCCCAATGGCTTACTCTTCAAGCTCGAATTTCACGGTGTGCAGAGGCATGTTTGATAATCGTCTATGAAAGTGAAAGCTAGAGAGCTACCTATTGATGGAATAATTGAGTTCATCGAACGATTCTTGGGTCGGTGGGGAACATGGGACAGGGTTTTTTTGTTTTTGTTTTTTGTTTTAAAAAATATTAAATTTTATATTAAAGTAATTATTTTTAATTTAACATAAAATATTTTTTAATTAATGAAACTTACGGAATTGAGGCATTTGATCTGATTTGCTAAATGTTGCAAATGTGGTGATCAAATTTGGAAAATTAAAACCAAACCAAAATCATTTTCAACCCTAACCCAAGTGACCAAAACTTATTTTTTTAACCTTAATAGTATTCTATAATCACTCGTAAAAATTGACACCATATGAATTTGTAAAGCCGGAGAGAATGGAAGGCAGGAGGAACGAGGAATGAAAATGATTGACAGCTGGTAGAGCATTTACCAGGAAAGGGTAAGGTTATGCATTTGATGTTGTGGTTTGCTTTATTTTTTTTATTTTTATTTTTTATTTATTTTTGGTGGTTATATCTTCCCTTTGTACTTCGTATTTTAATGTGTCTGTATCTGTTATAATAATTTTGTAAAAAACAAAAATCGGTATTTACTTATGAAATACTTAAGCACAAAACACAGTTTTAAATCAGCAGCTAATTACAATATCATAACAAGGGAAAAAAGAAATATATTGAGAAGAGAGTGTATGGCACGTCAAGTGTAATCTAAAACCAGCGCTGTGAAATCTCATTCGCATTACTTCATCATAACTGATGCCATATTATCATAACTCCAAGTCAAGGCGAAGACAGAAAACTAAGGTGTACAGAGAAGGTGAGCTGAAAAACCAACAGATAGAGAACCTAGCCATAACCTCAATTTCTAGGTGCCCCTACTTCGTCCTTATCATTGGTCTGACCATTGCAACAATCTTAATAAACCACTCAGGCCTCCTTGTGATCAAAAGGTCTGCTAAAACCACTCCGATTACCAACCCACTTCCAAAACCCGCCAAAACAAATTTCCAATCAAATTCTATTCCAGAGTTTGAATCATCTTCTTCTACAGAGGAAGGTGGCAATTGAGGGGCCTCAGTATTTCCACATTTCTCTGGCAATGGATCACCACACAGCCCCGGGTTTCGCTCATACGAAGTAATGTCAAATGAAGTAAGGTCAAATTGAGGGATCTCCCCTGAAAGCTTGTTTTGTGAAAGGTCCAACGATTCAAGCAGTGTTAAGTTCCCCAAAGATGATGGGATGCAACCACTGTTGTTGGAAACATTGAGCGATCGGAGTCCCTTTAGGTTCCCAATGAATTCAGAAATATTCCCTTTGAATTTGTTGCTTGAGAGATCAACGGATCTAAAATCTTCTTGAATCTTTAGGTAGTATCTCCTCACACCTTTATTTGTTATGGTGGTTCTGAAATCATAAATGAAATAAAATCACGTTGTATTATTCTCCTCCAATATAATAAAATCACTTTGTTTCAACTATTGTCTTATTGTCCTAAACCCCTTCGTTGCATAAACCAAGCATGGTATCAGAACGTCACAAAAACTCACACCTCCTAAAATTCCAACATTTTCAAACAAGGTGTGCGGATTGGGACAAAAATATTCTGAGACGTACTTGTATATAGTAAATAAATAACTACTTAATATTACTCTAAGTTAACCATCTTCATCAAGAGATAATATTTTTTGACATTTTGATCAATAAAGAAGGGATTGGAAAATAATAATAATAATAATAAACTCGGGGCATAGTGTTTTCACATTGCAAATGGCTAAAGTCAAGAACTCACGATCACAGAAAATTCCATCCTTGAAAGTAAGAACCACTGTTGTCAATTCGAAGCAAAGAAAAAAATGGTTTCTCTAAATTACATATATAAATGCAATTTGTGATATTTCCAATTAAAAAACCAAGAAACTCCAAGTCAATTTGCCATATTGAATTTAGGTGCTGCGAAATTGAGACACTCTGTAAATTTCCGAAGTTATGTCTTGAAGGGGCTTAGGGAAATTCTATATGAACTCCATTAATTGCTCTTTACATCCCATAATTTTTACATCCTACTAAATTTTAATAAAATTTCAAATTACTCATTATACCCCTTTTTTTTTCTCCTAAATTGTCCTCATGAACTCCATTCCCTAACTCACTGTGCAAACCCCATCTCTGCAAACCACCGAACCCCATCGCACAAACCATCTCTGCAAACCCGAACCCATACAAAGCCATCACACCCATCTCTGCTCACCACTGAACCCATCTCTATCAAGTTTTCACAAATCCTTCGAAGAGCCAAGGTTTGATTTCAATTTTGATTTCTATATTTACGTTTTCTAAGTGTTGATTAAGCCTACGTTTGATTTCACTTTTGAAAAGCCAAAGTCTGATTTTGGTTTTTGATTTCAACGTTGTGGGTTGTATGTTTCGAACCTGATTTTACGAAATTGGATTGTAGTTTAGGTGGATTACCACCGAAATGGCTACATTGCTTAAGTGGTAGTCCACCGAATTTGAATCTGAGTTGTACTAAAATTGATTTTACTTTCGGTGGGTTACCACCAAAATTGTTACCTTGTTTCAGTGGTAGTCCACTAAATTTGTTTCTATTTTTCAGGAGATTCCCACCGAATGTATTTCAGTTTTTCGGTGGTACTCCACCGAATATATGTTCTTTTTTCAGTGATAGTCCACCGAATTTATGTCCGTTTTTCAGTGATCATCTACCGAATACGTTACTAAGTGTTTACTTAATATTGTTTGTTTTTAGATATGAAGAGGACTCGCAGAGGTAATATTGAGGCTTCATCATCCCGACCTAATGGACAACGTCCCACGACCTCAACGAGGAGATAGAAAGCGACTCCCCAAGATCACTTTGAGGATACTACAGAGGTTGAAGATGTAGTTCCCACTCATGATAATAATGTTGACGCAGATTTTGAAGATGTAACTGCTACTCAGGATAGTAAGATCAAAATAGCTTGCATTAAATTTGTGGTCGGTAATAAGTTACTGAAAAAATAAATAAATTTCGGTTGGATGCCACTGAAACGCAGGTAAAAGTTCGGTAGTGAACCACTGAACTACGTTCCATGTTACGGTAGATCTCCACTGAAAACGGAAAACGGTGCAACGTTTCGGTGGCATCCCATTGAATTTACCTGTCGCGTTCGATACTGATGTGTTGAACGCAACCAACGACCATTATGAAATACTAAACTTGCAAAACGCCAAAAAATAAACTCGTACATCATTCGAAGCCTCTCTAACTTCAATCTCACCCTTCATGAATAAATACAAGATATTTTTTCACCAATATAAACGTATAAATCTAGGATTTAGGGTTTAGGAACATGATAGTTTGAGAAAAAAGTCAAACTAGGGTTGCAAGAACATATGTGCGGTGTAGTGAGCAATTTTAATTTTAATTTTAATTTTTTTTTGTCCTTAACGGTAATTGTGTACAATGGTAAAATAGGTTATTCATATTTAAAATTAGTATGGGGTGTAAAGAGCAAATAATGGTGTGCCAATAAAATCACCCTAAAAATATTCCTAACCATAATCCCCCAAAAGCACACGCAAGTTTTCTCAACCTCATTTGTTTTTTTTTTTCTTAATAACAAATTAGATATTTAGAATCAATTAATTCTTACTTAATAATATTTTTACAATCAACTATTAATCTAGTGGTAACTTTTGCAATTCTTGAAGCAGAACCGTGAACAGTCAAGGATCATTGTACATGTGAAGCCTTATTCTAAAATCACATTTTAAACTAATAACTTTAGCTAGTCCACTTGTTGAAAAATTATTAGTTCGCCCTTAAGTATAAGTGCTTTCTAGCCAAGCTTGAGCCTACACTGGGGCACCATTTGAATATAGCTAAGTTTCTCTTTGCAGCCTCTTCCTTTATTACAAGTCAAGTCCTTGCTCTGTTTCTTCTCCGTTCTTCCTTATACCTTGCCCTACACTGTTTGGTCAACTGGTCAACCACCACAACCGTAGCTATATGGTTTTATCAAGTTCCATCAGCCCATATTAACCCAAAAAAGTTGGGACTTTTACTATTATGCTCAAAGTCCATTTACAACATAACAAATGCGAAATTCTATAGTGCCATATATGGACTCTTCATGTGAACATTCATATTAGCCACATGCTCATTAAACTTAAGTGAAGTTACTATTCATAGAAATCATGTGGCTAATATGAAAGTCCACATCTATGGTTCATATTGCACCCCAAACCATCTATAGTCTATATATCGAACTTTCTATAAATTACAAAACTACTATCAATTTCTTAAAACAAGTCTAACCCCAAAACCTCATAAAAAAATATCCAAAACATTCAACAGGGCATCAGGGTAATTTAATAATCAAAATTAAATTTAACAGGGTCAGCTGTCGTTTTTTGGGTTTATTTATAGAAATTAAATGGTGTAAGGTTTATCTATATCACTAGTGCTAAGGGCATCCATAATGGATTCCATAAATCACCTCCTTAGATAAATTTAGGGGGGAAATGAGAAAACCCACCTACAACCATACTCCTTATCCAACTCCTAAAATAGGATGACCTCTAGGAGCTTCTAAATCTACTAGAAACTGTTTTCATGCTTGTAGGGAGCTTCTCCAATAATAATTTTGAAGTTAAAGGTTGATTACGGACTTTCCAGCCTTGTTTACACCTTGCGGCAAGTTAATAGGAAAGCAAACGTTCATTTATTTCCTACGTTTTAAATGGTGTACAGAATAATATTTGCAAGTATTAGTTATTGTTAAAAAAAAACTAGCTAACTTCATATAGTTTCCAGAAATTGAGAATGAAGAACCAAAATTTGTCCCAAATATGTCAAATGAGATGATGGGCATCAATAGTTAGATGCAAGAATAATACTTAATTTTTTTTTGAATGATTGGATGGTTGGATTGAACCCTCATTCAACCCCGCTCACCCAAATCCGCCATATTGTAGCATTTCCGCCATTCAAGTCAAGTCTGGCCAGTCCGAGTTCCAGATGAGGCTAAGGATGCCTTGCCCGAAACTGCAATTAACTGCTTGCAAATTTTGTCCACGGGCTTGCTATCATGAGCCCCACTCTTTGGCACAATATTCTTTGTTTTGTATTGATGCATATATAAATCCTAGTTAGCATTTTCCCCTATAATACTTGTGTATATATTATACACCTACATAAGTACATCAATTTTTCCATATAATACTTGTATTATACACGTACATATGTACATATATAATGGTAGTTGAGGTACACTAATAATTCCATATTTATTGGGTATATGAATTTAAAGCAATGGATTATGAACTCACCATAACCTGATGCAATGAATTTAAGTCCCATTGTACCTGAATAATTAGATATTCCTATTAAAAAAAATGAAGAAAAAAAAATTAGAGTGAAGGGCACTTATTATGCGAAGAAGACTGGATTGACCATCCATATCTAATAGCAAGTTCTTGTACAGAATACATAGAGACATATAGAGACATATATGTACAGTATAGCAAGTTCTTGTACATTTGTGAAAACAGATGCCAAATTGTCCATTCTTCCTTTCTTACAAGTCGCATTGTCCATTTTTCCTTTCTTACAAGTCTAAGTCGTTGCATTTGGCTACTTGCGAATTTCTTCCACAAGGGTGCAATCATGTGCCCTACTCTTACAAGTCTAAGTCATGTGCCCTACTCCAAGTCTAAGTCGTTGCAATGAAAACAAACAGACAAATGGATTTGACACCGAAAACACACATTCCATATGAAAGCTCTTGAAAGTGCCCTGTAAGTTGCACTGAGCCAAAACCCCCACTTCCATGTAAGTTGCTTTTGTTAAATCCATTTGTCCATTCTTCCTTTCTTACAAGTCTAAGTCGTTGCATTTGGCTAATTGCGAATTTCTTCCACAAGGGTGCAATCATGTGCCCTACTCTTTGGCAACTTGTTCTGTACATGATGCCGACGGATGTGTTAACAGAGATGGTGGATTCCCCCTTCTTCATGGCACCCAAGATTGAACCCCAATGGAGTTTCTTTCCTCCAATGTAATAAAAAATATGAGGAAAAAAAAATTCACAAAGCTTTAAACAAAAGAGGAAGAGAAAGAAAGATTAAAACTTTAGGAGTTTTTAGTACAAATGTCTTAAACTAACCTAGAAGATTTAATAGAGATGGGTAGAAGAGAGATATTTTATGGTTAATTTGTAGACCAAAAGCACCTAATATATTATTTTATTTTAGAGTAAATATCCTAAAACTAATTAATATATTATAATATTATATATCATATATTACATATAAATAGAAGAGGTAAAAATGGAGTGGGGGCCTGGGACTACACTAGTCCCATGCTGGCTCCACCCCTGGTTTTAGGCTAGATGATTGAACGTTTCTTATTGCATGCCCATTTTACTCATACAAAGCAACCATTAAGTGCCCATATTTGACATTGCAAATTAGCAGCAAAAATCACTTATTTTGAAAGTTCTCTTCCACACGTGTCTATTTAGTATTTAGTTTGCCAATCATCAAACTACCTTCCTTCACAATTGATTTCTCTTATAACAAATCTAAAAGCGACTATTTTCACAACATATCAATGCCAAATTAAGCCCCAAATATCTTATTTTTAGCTTATGTGGTCTTCATTTACCTAAATGTCTTATTTTTTTCTTGCTTATGTCTGGTCTTGATTTATAAGAAATTAACTTAATGGAATACCCATTAAATTCTTAGAACCACCAAATTAGGAGTGTGTCAGTTCAAAACCGCCTGCTCTACCCCAAACCTCTTGGGGCCTAGCTCAATCTTCTCGTCCAGAAGCCAAGTTCCATGTATCGCAACAAACGAATTAACCTAGAAACAAAGTGGCAAGGGACTTCTACGTATTAAATTATTTTAGTCACGTTTTATTTATTTATATATCAATCTTATTAACATTTCTTTTCTTTTAATTTGAAAGATATAACAATTTGGAATCTCCCTAACCTTGTTGAGAAAAAAATTCTTTTTTTTACTTTTGAAATAAAAATTCTAGTAATAGCTTATGAACTTATACTGGAGTTATACTCTAGTCCTTGAATTAAAATTTTAGACAGCAATAATTCTTGGCATCAACAATGTAGCAATTTATGTTAAAATTGGCCATTTGAATGGTATATGTGTGGCCAATTTTTCAAAGGTATAACTATTATTTAAAAAAATTAGGTAAATCTTTTTGGTTCACCTCAACATTCCTCACTTGTTTGGCGGTTGTTGTGGTTTCGTTACGAGTGTGATTATTATAACAACATCTTTTTTGTATTCAGTCACTCCTGGAGTAATTTTTCGTATTGGAATCATAAAAATCCATCCTGAACTTGGTACAAAGAATGGAAACGGGCCGATTTGGGGCCAGGTATGACAATACCATCCCTGTCTTCGCTCTTTATCACCGCCCCTGTTGATACCAAATATCAATTAGGCCCGCCCATAAGAGCCTGAGAGACTTAGGGCCAAACCACTTGAGGAAGTGATTGGACCAAATGATTGGTAGGCTAGCCTTTTTTTTTTTTTTTTTTTTTTTTTTTTTTTACACGCCCAGGCCCAAACAACAACCAAACAATTGTGGCCTAGCACACCATCCTAGGCGTCTCACCCCAGGAGACCCATAAGCATCAAATGCAAGGCACAAAACGTATCCCAACAACGTGCGATGATCCCAATAAGGAAGGGAATATGCGCTAGACTCCCACCATCCATTCAAATTTGAGGACGCCACATCATTAAAGACCCAACAATCCCACATCGAAAAAGGATGGAGAAGAGGTCACATCTTCCCAATATGAAAGCTGGCTGAGGTAACTAAACTCCCCTTTAGACTTAAGTACAATAAATTTTCAAACCTCATATGAGGAAGAAAGCTGACTGAGGCATCGGAGGGTGGTTGGTGGATCCACCACCACCTCTTCAGTGGCCATTGCCTGTCTCCATTTCAGGGGATTGTTGCCATTTTCCACCATGCTTGACCGCCCTAAGTGCAACGAGAAGTCTACAGACCTCCAAAACTCAAGTCTACCCTTGAGTAAAGGTTGACCGGGTTTTTGACGCACTCTGATTGATGGCGCAAAAATATGGATCAATAGCCCCCATCCCTTAAGAATTTCCGAGGAATCCCCTCCCTGTTGGGGGCAACTTCCCAAACATGCCCCAAATCATGATTTTTTTTTGTTGAAAAAAATTCATCCTACATTATATATCTTCATCATAAATTATCATTCAACTCAATTACATTCAATTGATTTATAAAATTCCAACTCATTGACTCAAAATAATTGCATTTCAATTACTATATTACTTATCATGTCAGGTTCGGAAATTGGGATGACATACCATCCCCCACTTGGTCTCGACCAAGGATATTTAAAAATTCGGGAGCCCCATATTCGTCCCCAATTTTCCCCTGAAATCTCCCACTATTAGGGTCGAGGACCCGATGATGACCCGGTCCGACGGGAATTTATGTCATCCTTATTTGGTGCTCTATTGTGGTGTAACCACAAAGAAGAGCTTTCAAATTTTTATTCTTTTTTCTTGAGATAAAACGATTGCAAGTTTCATATTGAACTAGCTAAATGTCCAAATTTCTCTCCATTTAAAAACTCATTATCAAATACCATCAACGACTACAATTTCAGGATTTGGTTTTAATTATCTCCCTTAATTAATTTGTTTTTTTTTTTTTTTTTTTTTTTTTTTTTTTTTGGTAAAATAGGCTTTATATTGAAAAAATAGAAGCACATAAGGCCCCGTTTGGTTCATGGAAAAGGAGACTTGGGAATGAGAAATCAATTGCTTTCCCATGTTTAGTAAGTCTATGTATGGGAAATCGTTGCCTGGCTCATGGGAAAGTAGGGGGAAAGTGAAGCCATCCTCCCAACTTGGGTTTTGTTTTCCCTTCTCATGGGAAAGTTTGGGAAAATGAGCTAACATTAAATACTTATTTTTTATGACCATTTTATCCCATTAACAATTTAGAATTACAATATATCATTAAATGCATTCTTTTTTTATTTGATTTAATATGGGTATAATTGAAAATTTATACAAATTTTGTTTTCCATTCCTACTCAAAACAAACATGGGAAAGGAAATAAAGTGCTATTTCCTGGTTATTTTTCCAGCATTACCAAACGTGAGAAAAGAATCTTCCATTCCCATTCCTTGGGGAATGACACGGGAAATGATTTCCCCTCAAATTCATTCTGTGAACCAGCCCGAGTATACGGCGGATTCGAAGAAACCATCTGAAAACCAAAGTGAGGGCCGGGAAGAATTGACCAAACTAATTCAGTTGGCTGCAGTTTTAAATATTTTTTTTGAAAATCAGTTAGCAAACCTCCCGTTTAGCGGTTGGTTCCCTATTCAGAACCGGTTAAATTAAAATTACATAATTTTATTTATATTTTGAGCTTATTCTAAGGTACCGTGCAACCTAAAATAACCAAAGTACATAAATCATATTTTGATTATTTAATATTAAATATTTTTTAATTAAACAAACTGATGTAAGGCTTTGGACTAAATTTGTTGACTATTGCAAGCAAGAGAGAACGGGGGAACACAATTATACTGAACATGATGGAAAGAAGGCCCTCTGGACAAAAGCACCCTTCCACACGTTAACTTTTCCAAGTCGAAGTCATAAACTTATGACTGGGTTAGATCAGCAGTTAACTTTTCCAAATGCCTTCAATTGGTCTGATCATCATCTATGAATATCAATGGAGAGAGTTAGCTAGTATTGGAGAATGTTGTTGAAAATACATTTTGAAATTTAAGCCTAATATCTTTATTTGCATTAATACAACATCATAACTGATTCTTCCATTAGCAGAAGTACAACTCCAAAGATAGAGCAAGGTTACATAGAAGGAGAAGGAAGGAAACACAAGAGAACAACTTTAAATGCATGACCTTATAACAAACTCAATTTTTGCATCCCCTACTCTACCTTTTCCATATCATTAGCCTGACCATTCCAACAATCTTAAGAAACAACTCTTGCCTTCTTGTGATTACGACATCCGCAAGAACCACTCCCACTACAAACCCACTTCCAATTCCAGCCAAACCAAATCTCAAATCAAATTCAAGCGTTCGAGTTGAGCCTGAATCACTGTCATTTTCAGTTGAAAGTGGCAGTTGAGGGGCCTCTTGGTTTCCACATTGCTTTGGTAATGGATCTCCACACAATCCTGGATTTCCCTCATATGAAGTGCTATTGAATGAAGTAAGTTGGGTACCTTGCGGTATATGACCTGTGAGATTGTTGTGAGACACATCTAAGTTCCCAAGGAATGTAAGCTGCGTCAGTTGTTGGGGGATCTGTCCTGAGAGCTTGTTCTTTGAAAGGTCCAACGATTCAAGATTCCTTAACTTCCCAAAGGAAGATAGAATTGTACCAGTGAGAATGTTGTTGGAAATATTGAGTGAGCGAAGCTCCTTAAGGTCCCCAATGAATTCTGGAATCTTACCTTCAAATTTGTTGCTTGAGATATCAATGGCTGCAAAGCCTTCTTGAATCTTTGAATAGTACAACTCCAGACCCTTAATTGCTATTGTGATTGAGTAAGGAATACTCTGATGAACAATATAAGCATCATTGACTTGATAGGCTACGTATATGGACATATATGTTGACTTGTTAACAATAATATTTGGAAACAAAGGTGGAATCTTACCTGTGAAATTGTTGAAAGACAAATCAAGAATATGTAACTTGGGGAAGTCAACATTTGTTCTAGACTGTCCTATTACACCGTTGAACCAATTGTGGCGCATTGCCAAAAGTTTTAACTCTGGAAGAGTCCCCAACCAAATGGGGAAAACATCACTGAATTGGTTGTTTGACAGAACCAGATACTCAAGCATCACACAATTCGCCAATGACCTTGGTAGTTGCCCCTGCAATTGGTTATGACTAACATCAATCATCATCAAACTGCTTCTGTTGTTGAATGGTTGAGGCATCATTCCATGAAAAGAGTTGCTTCCAAGAAGTAAAAGGATTAGATCATCACTAAAGTTTCCGAGACACTGAGGAAGCGTGCCACTCAAGTTATTTTTCGACAAGTCAAGATACAGAAGAGAACTCATATTGCAAAGAAACGGTGAAATTTCTCCAGTGAATTTGTTGTTGGTCGCTCCATATTCTAGAAGGGATGGTGGAGGGATCGGTAATCCTCCGTGAAACCTGTTGAACGAAAGCCTCAAGCATTGTAGTTTAACCCAGGGTATGACAGCTAGAAGTTCTCCTGAAAATAAGTTTGCAGAAATGTCCAAGAATATCAGGGTTTCCTTGCTTAAATTCCACATCTTGTTTGGTACTTGGCCACCGATTTTGTTGTCTGCCAGATCCAACCGTTCCAAATTTGTCTGATTTTGTAGGAAATATGGGAACTCTTTTAAATTGCACAAACTCAAACCCACAATGGTGAACTGTCGAAGAGTTGCGTTCATAATATTGGATCCAGTAACAAATTCAAAGTTGTTCCAACTCAATTGGAGTTGGTAGAGATTTTGTTGCTTCTGAAACATTTGAAACTCCACTACACCGCTCAGGTTGTTTGATTGTAGATAAAGGATCTCGAGATTGGTGAGATTGGAAAATGAGGCGGGAATTGAACCATTCAAATGATTAAAAGCAAAATCTAGGTAAACTAGTTTGCTAAAGTTACCTAGCCAAGATGGAATTGGACCAATTAAATAACTCGTACTAATCCTGAACACAGTTAATTGGGTAAGGTTTGCCAAAGAATCAGGAATTGGACCTCCAAATTTGTTTGCTGAAATGTCTAGATAAGTGAGCTGTCTAAGATTACCAAGTGCAGATGGAACCAACCCTTTTGAAAAATTGCATTGAGCTACATCCAACTCTTGCAATGAATTAAGCTTTTCAAACGAGGAAGGTATTTGTCCGAAAAACCTAGTATAAGCAACTTTCAGTAAGATTAGAGGACTACTTCGATTAAATTCAGGAAAATATCCAGTAAGATCTTGGTTGTATCTCACACTAAGAACTTTTAAGTTCTGTAGATTGAAAATTCTCACTGGGAATTCGCCAAATAGATCACATTTCCTGAGGGCAAGGGATGTTAAAAATGATAAATTTGTCAAGGAAACGGGTATGATCGATGATATGTTAATGAAACTGAGATGAAGAGTTTCTAGACTAGTTAAATTTTGAACCAGACTTCTCATATTGGATATGGTTGAAGTTTCAACAATCGCTGAGGATCACTAGGAGATGTTTCAATTTCAATAACATTGCAAGACAGATCAAGGTATGTCAACTTGGACAAGTGTGAGACTTCATATGGGACTTGACCAGAAAAGAAAGAGGTAGAGAGGTCAAGATGAGTGAGGCTTGGAAAATTTCTTATGCTAGATGGAATTTGAGAGTAATTGAAGTTATTGTCAACCTTTGAGGCTGAACAGGCTACTTTGAAGATGCACCAGGCTGAACAGGCTACTGTTGGAGTCGAAAGAGCCGTAGAGATAACTGCTGCTAAGATTAAGACCAATAACATGACCCGTCATCTCGTCACACTCCATGCCGTCCCACGAGCAGCAGCTGCTATTTCCTCCTCCAGCTGGTTTCCATGATGAAACCTTTGGATAAGCACCTTCAGAATGTGAAGCAGATTTGTCAATAATAAAGCTCTCCTTGAACTGCAGCAAGGCAGAGCGCTCCTCATCATGGCAAGACGGCTGCTGCAAAGAGTCTACAAAGTTAACAACCACAAGAGGAAACAGCAGTAGAACTACTACTAGTTTCGAGAGCATGTGAATCAACACGTCCCCCATAATGTTTTTGATATTTTTTGTGTGCACTCTTAGCTAAAGAATCATATGTGAAAGTGAAAGCTGGAGAGCTATCTATTTATGGACAGGCCGTGTGATCAAATGGTTGAGCAATAAACATATACGTCTTTGACTTCAAGTCAAGTAGCAATGCATGTATGGGTATTGGACGTGTTCAGCATCAGCTCTTTCTTGGGGATTTCCTCATCGTTTCTTCGGTTTCTTGGCCTGACTTTTGAGTCTCTGTTTTGTGGAAATTATTTTGGACGTGAGATATTTCTTTTGTCCTCTTGAGAGTTCACATTTAAGGGGTTGTCCTTTCATCATTGATTGTTTTGTTTGTACAGTTTTGGTTGTTAAAATATATGTCTTGAGGAGAGAACCTGATGGTTTTTCATTATTACCTAATGCAACCTGTAACAAAGTTCCACCAAAAGCAACTTCATATAAATACCATTCAAAATAAGCTCCCTTTGATGTTAAAGTCTAAATGAAAATGTTAACATAATTATCGTGATGTATCAAGTTTCATTGACAAGTGCAGCCTAAAATTCTAGCATTCACAAGTGTATCCACAAGTTAGTATTCACAATCTCTCCTCGGCATGGCAAGACGGCTGCTGCAAAGAGTCCACAAAGTGCAACCACAAGATATTCCTCATCAGCTCTTTCTTGGGGATTTCCTCATCGTTTCTTCGGTTTGTTGGCCTGACTTTTGAGTCTCTGTTCTGTGGAAATTGTTTTGGCACCACATGTAGATTTCCTTTGTCCTCTTGAGAGTTCACATTTGAGGGCTTCTCCTTTCATCATTGATTGTTTTGTTTGGTTCGTTTGTAACAAGGAAATAAGAGCGTGAAGGTTAGGCACTATGTCATAGGGAATTTGAATTTCTGAATTGCTTTTGGTGGGAAATTTGCTTTAAGGAAGACTTACTGAGGAGCTTCGCGCTTTAAATAATAGTAAATAAAAGAAAATAAACATTTGTTTGTTTTCTCTTCCCTCTGGTTTCTTTACCCTCCATTTGGATGAGGCTTGAAATTTAGCCAAAAGTCAGGAGTTTAAAGGAGAAATTGACAATTCCCTTGTTTGGTAACTTAAACACGAAATTTATTAAATGATGCGCATAAAAAATCGTGGAAATTGACTCATCAAATTTCCGAGTTTAATTTCCACAAAATATGCGTCATTTTAGAATTTTCATAGTGCAATTTACAAATTTATGTCATTTACAAAATTCAACATATATAAATTCAAACATTGAAATCTTCAATTGCCAAAAATTGAAATGATGGAAACCTAAATTACATCATTTTAGAATTTATGTAATTTTCAATTCCTTCATCCAAACGGAATTCGACAAAAAAAAGAGACATTGTAATATACTCTATTTTTTATATCGAGAGGTGAATCCCCATAATGTTTTGATATTTTTATTTGCACTCTTTGCTAAAGAATCATCTGTGAAAGTTAAAGCTAGAGAGCTATTCATTTATAGACTAGCATGATCAAACGGTTGAGCAATGGCGTACACGTGTCAAGTAACAATTTAATATTATTTGACATTTTGATCAATATAGAAGTGATGGGATAATACACGTGTCAAGTATCTATTTATGGACTGGCATGAGGTAACTAAAGTCAAGAACTCACGAATTGACATTTTGATCAATACTCCAGAATGAGGTGACTACAGTCAAGAACTCACGAACTAATTAATAAAAAGGTGCAAATACAAACAAATAATCATTAAAAAAAATTATATCCTTGCAATTAAGGACCAGCGTTGTCAATTCGAAACAAAAAAGGGTTCCTGGCAATTACATATGATTAGTTCGATGTCTGATATCTTCAATTAGAAAGACCAGCGAAATTTCAAGCCAATTTGCCATTAAATTTAGTTGTCATTTTTGGCCAACATATGTAATGATTTGACTCCAGTTATCACCATTCGATATAGATTTGGAGCTACGAAGCGGGGATGATGCTAGGTGCATCGAGTTAGGGTTTGGCTAGTATGGCGTTACGACTTTCTTCAGGTTTACCCTTGTTATTGAACCCTTGTTATTGAATTTAGGTGTTGCGAAATTAATGGGGCCTTATATTAAACATGCACGTCACCATGTGCTCTGGACTTTTTGCACCTATATATAAGCTTTATTTTAGTCATTCAATTCAGTTAATGAATTTAAGTCTTGATAAAGGCATCAAATAACTATGGCGGTTTTCGACACACCCAAGACAACATCTCCTTGGACATAAGTACGATACAAGGCAGCCATTTGGTTTTCGACATCAACTTTCTATTTAATATACTACCTAGTGTGTTGTTGGTTGCACTTTGTTCTTGTTATTGTCAAACAGTAAATGAATTGTTCAGTCTGTCAAACTAATCATGTTCAATCAAGTGGGACTTAGGGAAAAAAATAGTAGAAAGAGAAGACACGGACCAAGGTACAAGAAAGGAACAAGACGAAAAGAACAAAAAAATTAACATGATGCATGCATGACCTTTGTTTTCATTACCAGCCCATTTCCCAAGTCTGTCAAATCAAATAGCAATAATGGATCTCCACACAATCCTTTGTTTATTTGAAGGGATAATATTTATACAAATTTATAAATAAATCCAATCCTAGACATGTATTTATAAAAAAACCCAAGCACTATTTAAACATAGAAACACACCCAAAATCAACCCTAAAATCAACAATTGTATATTTTTTGGGTGTGTTTATAAATGGGTTTTGAGTGTGTGTAATGATGGGTTTTTGGTGTGTTTATAAAGTGTTTTGGGTGTTGGGTTTTTTTATAATTTCAACCCCCATTTTGGGTGTTTTAGTGAAACTCCCTAATATTTATTGACATATCGATCAATAAAAAAGTATTTTAAGACTTCAGACGACGTAAGTCGAGAACTGAGATCTGATTAATAAACAAGTGTAAATGCAACCAAATATTCATTACAGAAAATTCCACAGAGAAGAGCTAGCTTTTGAATTTTTATTCTTTTTGCTTGAAATTCCACAAAGTTGGTAGAGTTTTAGCTTGAGTTCTACTTCTAATCAAATTTAAATATGTTTAGATTGATATTTATTATTTTCTATATGCACGTCACCATGTGCTCTGTACTTAATTTTAGTCTTCAATTCAGTTAATGAGTTTTAAATCTTCGTATTTCAATCCTTTTGGCGAATTCTAAAGTGTAAATCAATAGTTTTAACTTACATCTTCACAAAATTTAAGTTAAAAACATAAAAATACTTGTGAGGTCGGTTTCATTTTCGTGCCTTTCTTCTCATTCTCATTGACCTCCTGAGAATTCACCAGCCATAGAAAACAAAAAAGAGCTTTATTAGTTTTTTACCAAAAAGCATTCAGACTTTTTACCAAAAAAAAATAAAGGCATTCAGACTTCAAGTGAGTAATTGCTTCACTTGACTCCAAGTCAAGTCGTCCAATTACTCCGTAAATAAGGCATTCTGATTCAGATACATGTTATTTGATCTTTGTTATGCATCAAAACTAAAATATATAGTTCCAAACTTATTTGACTTGAAGTCAAGTCATCCTCCAATGACCTAATAGTAATATGTTAAGAGATAAGTATCGCAATGTCTGGTCAAGTATGTGACAAATAGATCAATCTTCCCACTAACATTTGGTATCTTTTTTTGTTAGTTGGAACTTGATCCGGGTATTCTCCAAGATGATGATTCTGAACAATAGGAGTGTCTACAGGTTTTCAATCTAGCATTCATGTCATCAACATAGATTAATAATGGGAATTGACCTTCACTTTTTGCACATATATAAGCTTCATTTTAGACATTCAATTCAGGTAATTAATTTTAAGTCTTCGTATTTCAATCCTTTTGGTGAATTCTAAAGTGTAAATCAATAGTTTTAACCTACATCTTCACAAAATTGAAGTTAAAATAAAAATACTTTTGAGGTCGGTTTCATTGTCGTGGCTTTCTCCCCATTCTCAATTACCTCTTGAGAATTCACCAGCCATAGAAATTAGATAACCGTTGAACCAGGAAAACAGAAAAGGACCTTTGATTTTGGGGGAGAGAGAGAGAGAGACTTAATTAAAACGGCAGGGGAGGACGACTGATTTAAATAAATTTTTTTTAAAAAAAAAAGAGGGTTGGAAGCGAGTGAGAACGGAAGGGACTCCCAATTTCAAACAAGATGGGGATGGGGAACATGTGCTTGACTTCAAGTATAAATTAATTCATTAGACTGGAAATAAATAGTGCATTCAGATCAGAAGTTAAGATATTTGCTATGCATCAAGACAATATATGTCTCCGAACATGTGCTTGACGTTATTTTGCTGAAGGCAGCCATTTGGTTTTCTTAGTATTGCCAAACAGTAAATTGATTGTTCAATTTGTCAAAGAAATCATGTTCAATCAAGTGGGACTCAGGAAAAAAAAAGTAGAAAGAGAAGACATGGACCAAGATAGAAGAAAGGAACAAGACGAAAAGAACAAAAAAATTAAGATGATGCATGCATAACCTTTGTTTTCATTACCAGCCTTCTTCCCAAGTCTGCCAAAACAAATAGCAATGGATCTCCACACAATCCTTTGTTTTCATTTCCAACCCTTTTGTTTATTCCAAAGGGATAATATTTATTGACATATATATTGATAAAAAAAGAAGTATTTTAAGACTCCAGATGACTTAAGTCAAGAACTCAGATCTGATTAATAAACAAGTGTAAATGCAACCAAATATTCATTACAGAAAATTCCATCCTTGCAATTAAGAACCACGGATGTCAATTCGAAACAAAAGAATAAAAAAGGTCCCTGTCAATTACATATATTCGATTTCTCATATTTTCAATTAAAAAGACCAAGAAACTTCAACTCAATTTGCCATTAACTTTGTAAAAGCCTATTGGAGTTTATATGTGATATCATTTCCAACCCTTTTGCTTATTTATTCTTAGGGATTTAACTTACTAAAAACTCCACTTGGGGGTTGTGAAGAAACAGAATAATGGCTGAATTGATATTCATTAATCTCCACAATGCATTGCTTACAAGAAATTATAGAATATGACCATAATATGACGAAGTGGTACATCTTGTATACGTGTTATAATATGAGTGGATTGCAAATCGGAATGACGAAATCAGAAAAAGTAAAATCCGATGACCAAATTTGAAAAAAAACCCCCCGGCAAAAGAATGGGTCAAAAAAATTGTAATTATTACACCGCAACCCCCAATTTTTTTTTTTTTTTTTTTTTTTTTTTTTTTTGTTTTTGAAACAGAGGAAAGGAAAGAGAGGACTGATCAGGCCCCCAAAAAGAAAAGAGGGTTGAAAGCAAGAGAGAACTGGGGCACACAAATATATTGAACACGATGGAAAGAAGGCCCTCTGGATTCAGACAAGAAAAAAAAGAAGGGCCCCTGGACAAAAGCACCCTTCCCCACGTTAATTTTCCATGTCAAAGTCATAAACTTGCCTTCCACACGTTAACTTTTCTGGATTCAAAAAAAAAAAAAAAAAAAAAAGAAGGCCCTAGACAAAAGCACCCTTCCCCACGTTAATTTTTCCAAGTCAAAGTCATAAACTTGCCTTCCACACGTTAACTTTTCCAAATCAAAGTCATAAACTTGCCTTCCACACGTTTACTTTTCCAAGTCAAAGTCATAGACTTGTTAATGGGTTAGATGAGCAGTTAGAAGATGAGCAGTTTTGTATTTGAGACATTGGAAAGTTTCAATTTCAATTTCGTTTCAACAACACATGCAACATTAATTATGAATACTAGCCTTTTTGTATGCTCTTCCGTGAGTGTGGGAAGCTATTTTCGATCACATGCGCTACGTGCGACTTACAATTTTCCTAATTTTGCAATTATACACAAATACATTGGTCTCCCAAAACATTAAAAACTTTTTTAGTAATTGAATATGTTTTTGAAGCCTAAGACAGAGTTTAAACTTCCATTAAATCCTGAATGGATAGATTATTACGAAACCACATAACACTTATAACATCTCTGTGTGCTATACTTCAATGCAGTAAATGTACGACGGATTATGCAACATGTATTTCATCAAACTCAATACATCAAGCATACACAGCAACATAATACACTAAGAGGCAATACAATTTAAAGAAAAAAAAATGATTCATTTGATGATTATTATCCTTTTGACAATACCATGAGGATTGTAAAAATGAGATTCAGTATGGAGAAAATGAAAGTGAACAGATATAACAAAGTTGGTGATGATATTCCTCGTTGATTTTGGTACATTATTAGAGAAAAAAAATATATAGGTTCATTATTTTACAAGTACATTATTAGAGGAAAAAAAAAGGTACATTATTTAAATAGAACAAATAGGTTCATTTAAAAAAAAATTTGTTTTTCATAAAACAAACAATAAAAGATTATTAAATTGTTTTATCATAAAACAAGTAAAGGTACATTATTTAGAGGGGAAAAAAAGGTACATTATTTAGAGAAAAATAGGCTCATTTAAAAAAAAATCATAAAACAAACAAAAGATAGATTATCAATTATTTTTCAACATAATTAGAATGCAAACTATTATTCATAAAACTATAATAAAATAGATTACTAGTCACTTATAATTCATAAAAGGAAAACAACATAATTTTTTAATTAAATAAACCAAAACGTTAACCACCTATAGATACTAATACGTTAATTTTGAATTTAATATGTTATTTCAAATGAGTTTCTAAATTAATTCATGCATCAATTATAACCATTTGGAGATTTTTTCAAATTCAACGTGTCATTAGTTACAACCCCCACATAACACGTTAGCTTGTAAATAGGGGTAGTTTTGGAATCCAAAGATATAATAACTCAGATTTTAAGTTAGATTAGGTAACTTGTGTATTTGTATCCTAGTCATCCGGTTTTTATTTTTTATTTTTGTTTTAAAGGGTATTTTAAATAGAAAAATAAAGAAAAGGGTTATAGATGATTAAAAATGAATTTTATGGGTCTAACCTCAAAATTTTTTTTTTCCCAATTTCATTTCATCCAGTGTACTTTGAGCTCAATTCACGATTAAAATCATTTTATTGCATACAGAAAACTGCAAACATTATGAATGCATAAAATTCAAATGTAGAAAAACATGCAATATTCTAACACCTTATTTGCATTAATTAGCATAACGACAAGTACAACTAGAAAGACAGAGCAAGGTGGTTTAGAGAATGATCTGACACTATACTTGTGCAACTCAACCTTTTCCATATCATTAACCTCACCATTCCAACGATCTTAAGAAACGACTCCTGCCTTCTTGTGATGGGGACATTCGAGAGAATCATTCCCAATGCAAACCCACTTTCAATTCCAGTCGAACAAAATATCAAATCAAATCCAAGCATTCGAGCTGAGCCTGAATCACTGTCTTCTTTAGTAGAAGGTGGCGGTTGGGGGGCCTCTTGATTTCCGCATTTTGGTAATGGATCTCCACACAATTCTGGGTTTCCCTCATATGAAGTCCTATTCAGTGTTTTCAAAGGCATGCCTAAGCGTGCATCGGAGCGCTCGTCGGAGCGAGGCGGAGAGAAATCGCCTTAGGCGTACGACTGTTTAGCTTGTTGCACGCTTAGCGTGTCAAGGCGTGGTGAGGCGTGCATCGAGAGGCGTGGTGAGGCGCAAAGAAGCGCCGCTATCTGCAACCCAGGCAAGAGGAAGAAGACGACCTGACTTGAATTTTTTTTGTTAGGGTTTGTTTCAATCAAACTACGTCGTTCATCTATCTAAGTTTTTTTTTTTTTTTTTTTTTTTTTTAAACGCACGTTTTGGTTTTTATTTTTTAAACAAACATCATGCCTTTTAAGCCCCCACTGAACCAAACAAAACATCCCTCTTTTTTTCTTCTAAATAAATACATTAATGGACCTATATGTATATTCCTAATGCGATAATCTCCATCAATATAAATTCTCTCCATAAGTTGAAGCGTCTCTCTTTCGGTATGCAATTCTCTTTGTACAAGATTTATATATATATATATTAGTTTTTTTTTTTCTTTCCAAACAACACAATATCCATAAAACCCACTAAAAATAACACTCATGTCCACACATAAATGCCGAAAATCATCGCATTTTATGTTTCATGATGGGGAGTGGGATGCATGAATTGAGTTATTCTTTTGATATTGAATAAGTATTTTATGTTTTGAGATTGATTATTATGCTTGAATGGTATTTAGTACTTACATTTTTGATAGAATATTATGGGTTAATAAGAATTAGTAGTACAATTTATCTGTATTGTATTATTTATAATTTTTTATTATTAAAAGAAATTAATGTTTAAAAGGCTTACGCCTCAATGCTTCAAGGCTTACGCCTTGCATAGCAGACTAAAAATGCATCGCCTCTACGCCTCGCTTTTTCAAACATTGGTCCTATTAAATGAAGTAAGTTGGGTACCTTGCGGTATAGGACATGTGAGATTGTTGTGGGACACATCAAAGTACCCAAGGAATGTAAGCCTCGTCAGTTGTTGGGGGATATGTCCTGAGAGCTTGTTTTGTGAAAGGTCCAACGATTCAAGATTTCTTAAGTTCCCCAAGGATGATGGAATAGAACCAGTGAGAATGTTTCTGGATATATTGAGTGCGCAAAGCTCCTTAAGGTTCCCAATGAATTCTGGAATTTTACGTTCAAATTTGTTGCTTGAAATATCAATGGCTGCAAAGCCTTCTTGAATCTTTTGAATAGTACAAATCCAAACCTTTAACTGCTATTGTGATTGAGTAAGCAACGCTTTGTAGAATAGAAAAACCATTGAGGTCATAGGATATATTTGCGTACATGTATGTTGACTTGTTTACAATAATATCTGAAAACAAAGGTGGAATCTCACTTGAAATTGTTGTCAGACAAATCAAGAATGCATAACTTGGGGAAGTCATCATTTGTTCTAGATTGTCCTATTACACCTTTGAAGCGATTATGGCGCATTGCCAAAAGTTTTAACTCTAGGAGAGTCCCCAACCAAATGGGAAAAACATCACTGAATTGATTATTTGACAGAACCAGATACTCAAGCATCACACAATTCGCCAATGACCTTGGTAATTGCCCCTGCAATTGGTTATGACTAACATCAATCATCCTCAAACTGCTTCTATTGTTGAATGGTTGAGGCATCATGCCATGAAAAGAGTTGCTTCCAAGAAGTAAAAGGATTAGATCTTCACTAAAGTTTCCGAGACACTGAGGAAGCACGCCACTCAAGTTATTTTTCGACAAGTCAAGGTATAGAAGAGAACTCGTATTGCAAAGAAATGGTGAAATTTCTCCACTAAATTTGTTGTTGGTCTCTCCATATTCTAGAAGGGATGGTGGAGGGATCGGTAATCGTCCATGAAAACTGTTGAACGAAAGCCTCAAGCATTGTAGTTTAACCCAGGGTATGACAGCTAGAAGTTCTCCTGAAAAGAAGTTTGTCGAAATGTCCAAGAATGTCAGGGTTTCCTTACTTAATTCCACATCCAGTTTGGTACTTCGCCACTGATTTTGTTGTCTACCAGATCCAACCGCTCCAACTTTATCTAATTTTGTAGGAAATATGGGAACTCTTTTCAATTGCATGAACTCAAACCCAAAATGGTGAACTCTCGAACAGTTGCGTTCATAATATTGGATCCAGTAACAAATTCAAAGTTGTTCCAACTCAATTGGAGTTGGTAGAGATTTTGTTGCTTCTGAAACATTTGAAAATCCACTACACCACTCAGGTTATTTGAATTTAGATAAAGGACCTCGAGATTGATGAGATTGGAAAATGAGGCCGGAATTGAACCACTCAAATGATTATAAGCCAAATCTAGGTAAACTAGTTTGCTAGAGTTTACCTAGCCAAGATGGAATTGGAGCAGTTAAAGAACTCGTACTAACTCTAAACATAGTCAATTGGGTAAGGTTTTCCAAGGAATCGGGAATTGGACCTCCAAATTTGTTTGCTGAAATGTCTAGGTAAGTGAGCTGTCTAAGATTACCAAGTGCAGATGGAACCAACGAGTTTGAAAAATTGCATTGAGCCACATCCAACTCTTGCAATGAATTAAGCTTTTGAATTGAAGAAGGAATTGTTCCAAAAAACCTAGTAAACGTAACTTTCAGTACCATGAGAAGACTACTTTGATTAAATTCAGTAAAATATCCAGTGAGATCTTGGTTGTATCTCACACTAAGAACTTTTAAGCTGTGTAGATTGAAAATTCTCACTGGGAATTCGCCAAACAAATTACATTCCTTGAGGGTAAGGGATGTCAAAAATGATAAATTTGTCAAGGAAACAAGTATGATCAATGATATGTTAATGAAACTAAGAGAAAGACTTTCTAGACTAGTTAAATTTTGAATTAGACTTCTCATATCAGATGGTTGAAGTTTCAACAATCCCTGAGGATCATCATCAAGTTCGTCGATATTGCAACACAGATCAAGGTATGTCAACTTGGACAAGTGTGAGACTTCAGATGGGACTTGACCAGAAAAGACAGAGGCAGAGAAGTCAAGATGAGTGAGGCTTGGAAAATTTCTTATGCTAGATGGAATTTGAGAGTAATTAAGGTTATTGTCAGAGAGGCTTAACCTTTTAAGATGCACCAGGCTGAACAGCCTACTGTTGGAGTCGAAAGAGCCGTAGAGATAACTGTTGCTGAGATTAATGCCAACAACATGACCTGTCATCTCGTCACACTCCACCCCGTCCCACAAGCAGCAACTATTATTTCCTCCTGCAGCTGGTTTCCATGATGAAACCTTTGGATAACCAACTTTAGAACGTGACGCAGATTTGTCAATAATAAAGCTCTCCTTAAACTGCAGCAAGGCTAAGCTCTCCTCGGCATGGCAAGATAGCTGCTGCAAAGAGTCTACAAAGTTTGCAACCACAAGATGAAACAACAACAGAACCAGTAGTTTCGAGACCATGTGAATGGACAGGTTCCCCATAATGTTTTGACATTTTTTGTTTGCACTCTTTGCTAAAGAATCATCTATGAAAGTTGAGCTAGAGAGCTGTCTATTTATAGACTAGCATGATCAAATGGTTGAGCAGTAGCGCACGCATGTCAAGTAATTATTTAATATTATTTGACATTTTGATCATTCTAGAAGTGATAGGATAATACACGTGTCAAGTATCTATCTACGGACTGGCATGAGGGTATAAAGTCAAGAAGTCACAAACTGATTGATAAAAAAAGTGTAAATGCAAAGAAATAGTCATCACAGAAAATTCTATCCTTGCAATTAAGTACCAGAAGAAGGGTTCCCTGTCAATTACATATGATTAATTCGATGTCTGATATTTTCAATTAGAAAGATCACGAAACTTCAAGTCAATTTGCCATTAAATTCTATGTCCGTTAAATTGGTGATGTGGCAAGCAGAAGAGCAATCTCTCCCCTGTATATCTTCAACTTGGATTCAGCATGGATGATGCAGCACCCCCAGCCCTTAGCATAAATAGATAAAGAGCTATCTATTTATGGACTGGTGTGATCAAATGGTAGTAAAGAAGTGATTGGAAATAATAATAATAATAAACTCGAGGCATAGTGTTTTCACACTGCAAATGACTAAAGTCAATCATAGAAATTCCATCCTTGAAAGTAAGACTACTGTTGTCTTGTCAATTCGAAGCAAAGGAAAAAATGGTTCTGGTAAATTGCATATATGCAATTTGTGACATTTTCAATTAAAAAGACAAAGAAACTCCAAGTCAATCTGGGAAATTGATGAGACCAAGTGTAAATTTCCAAAGTTACGTCACCGCGTGCTCTGGACTTCAAGTGAATTAATTGAGGGGTAATTGCCCTTGACTTTTTGCACCTATATATAACTTATAAGCTTCATTTTAGTCATTCAATTCAGTCAATGAATTTTAAGTCCTGATAAAGACATGCAATAGCTACGTTGAACGGGATTTGTAAAAGCCTTTTGCTTTATACAAGAAAGTGGTAAACTCAACCAGATCCTATACCGATGTCTATAATTATGCTATTTGTGTAAATCACCCACTATAATAGTTTGGAGTAATTGCTCCCTCAAGTAAGATTTTAGATTCGAGTCCTAGCATAAGTGTAGTGTGTGTGAATATTAGTATATCTCATCTCGCTCTAGGCTCAATCAATAGGAAAAAAAAAAAAAAAACAAAAAAAAAAAAAAAAAAAAAAAAAAAACTCTGAAAAAAAAGCCAAACTACACAAACAGAGAAATGCACGTACGTACCTTGAAGCAGAGACAAAAATGTAGCCTCTATGAGAGCCTGTAGAGAGGGAATGGAAGCATCGCACAATCAAAATAGAAGCTAAAGTAAAAGATCTAAAACACTAAATTTTTTATTTTTATTTTTTATTTTTTGGTTTGGTCTTATGAAACAGTACATGTGTTCCATTCCTGTTGAAACTCTTTGGCATGGTGGAGGAGGACACACTAGACTAGAGACCAACATTCGAAGGAGAGCACAATGACCTGAGAGCTCCCTGCACATTGCCGGGTTGATATTTATACTCACCATCATACTTCATCATGCTCGTTTAAGGAAAAAAAATTCTTATTCTTATTACACATGAATATAATGCCATGTTTTTTTTTATTTGTTTGTTTATTTAATTTTAAGTATGATCTTAATTATTATGATGAGTTTGTATTATACAAAAAATCAGGGCCCGAAGTTCCTCGATCCTCATCATATAACTAGATTAGGACCTAAGAGTTCTTTTGATTGAATCAGAACCTGAAGTTCTTTGATTCCAAATAATTGAGGGCATGACGTTCCGCGAATTTAAAGAGCACATAAGGACATGAAACTCCTCAACTTGTTCTCTCTCTCTCTCTCATCAATGGTTCTCTTCATCATAAAGTTCTTGCTATGATTGCTACCAAAACCACTGCACGTGACACTTGGTTGGCGCTTGAAACCCGTTTCGCTTCTCCGAATCAAAATCGTCTTCTTCAGCTTCGTAGCGATTTGCTTCGCACGACCTGTGGTGATTCTTCCATCACTGATTTTCTGGATCGTATTCACTCTATTACAGATAACTTGGCATTGGCAGGTGCTCCCGTTCATGACTCTGATCTTCTAGCTGTGGTTATGAATAATGTTGGTCCGCTTTATGAGAATACGATTGCTACCGCTCAAGCTCGTGAGAAACCCATCAGCATGCCTGACCTTGAAGCCCTTCTCTTATCGCTGAACAACGTCTTCAAGCTTCTTCTTCTCCGGCTATCTTTTCCGGTGCGACAACCATGGTTGCTTTATGTGGTGGTCGCGGTGGTCAGGCTTTTGGTGATCGCGGTGGCTTTGCCAGCCATGCTTCGGATCGTCGGAACTTGCTCTTTTTGCCCCCCGTTTTGGTTCTTCTCTGAACTTTGGGTCTTACGGCTTCTCCCAATCCTCTTCTTCACATCCGCATCATCCCCACAATTTTGGTCAAGGTGTTCTTGGGCCTCCTCCTTTGGGCCCTCCTCACTTCTCTTTTGGGTATAATTCTTCTTTTTGTGGGCCTTTGCAATGTTACAATTGTCATGGTTTTGGACATGTTGCTGCTGTTTGTCCTTCCAAGGCTACTTCCATGCCTACTCCTCCTACTCGTCTTCAAGGCATGACTGCTCACCATATGTCCCATGGTGGCGCATAACAATGGGTTGCTGATACTAGGGCTAACACCCACATCACCAATGACTTAAGCCATATTTCCTTTGCTAGAGAGTGTCATGGTTCCGACAATGTTGGAGGTGTGCTTGGTGGAACAGGTTTGCCTATTACCCATATTGGTCACTCTCGTATCTCTCAACTTAACTCTTCCTTTTCTCTTAATAATATTCTTCATTGTCCTGATGCCTTTCTTCCTCTTTTATCTGTTCATAAATTTGCTACGGACAACAATTGTTTCTTTACATTTTTCCCTTATTGCTTTTTTATCCAGGATTTGGCGACGAGGAAGATTCTTTTCTGAGGCAAGAGTAGCAATGGCCTATATCCGTTTTCCTTCTACCCGAATGAGTCCTTTCACATTTTTCCTGATCGTGTTGCTTTGCTAGGTGCTCGTGTCGGCTGCTTCGTTTGGCACTCTCGTCTTGGTCATCTTGCTTCATCTACTTTATAATTTTTTTTTCTCATAATAAATTACCGCTTTCTAGCTCTCAGTCTGGTTCCTTTTTTTGTCAGTCATGTCCATTGGGTAAAAGTGTTAAGTTACCCTTTAGTCCATCTATTTTCTGTTTCTACTGCACCGCTTGAACTTATTCACTCCGATGTGTGGAGTTCGTCAAATAAATCAATTTCTGGTTTTTCTTATTATGTTCTCTTTGTTGATGATTTTTCCTGTTATTCTTGGATTTACCTAATGAAGTTAAAATCTGAAGTCTTCTCTCATTTTGTTAAATTCAAGGCGTTGGTCAAAAGTATGTTCTCTACTAAAATTAAGGCTTTTTCAATCTGATGGGGGTGGGGAATACACTAATAATTTATTTAAGGATTTTTTTATCTCATCATGGCATTCATCACCGTCTCTCTTGTCCTCATCACCCTAAGCAAAATGGCTTAGCTGAACACAAACACCGTCATATTGTTGATACTGGCCTCACACTTTTGGCCCATGCCTCTATGCCCCCTTCCTATTGGGCTGAGGCTATGCATACCGCTGTCTATCTAATTAATCGTCTCCCTTCTAAATTAATTTATCATAAATCACCTTATGAAATCTTATTTCACAAAATCCCCAATTATTCCTTTCTCAAAACTTTTGGGTGTGCTTGTTTTCCTTACTTACGTCCATATAATTTTAATAAATTGCAATTTCGGTCTTCTAGGTGTGTGTTTTTAGGTTATTCTTTAAATAATCAAGTTTATCGTTGTTTAGATCTTTCTTCCAACCGTGTCTTTTTATCTCGTCATGTATTGTTTGATGAACTTTCTTTTCCTTTTCACAAGGCCTCCGCTATTGCTGCTTCGGACAGTTCTCCGTCGTCCACTGACTTGCCTCTACTTCTCCCTGGCCCTAGTTTTACCTCCTGCAGCTCTGTCTCCTCCCACCTCACTCCTCCAACGCTCTAGGCCCAACCCTCTCTCTTAGCTCCAGCCGCTGCACCGACCGCTCCCCCTGACCCACCTTCTTCTGACCCCGCACCACTCCCTGCAGTGTCCACTCCTACTCCGAGCTCACCATCTATGTCATCACATATCCTTCCAAGTCTGCGTTCTCCTCACCGCTCTCCTAGCCCGCTAGTCACCGAGCCTGCACCCCCTCATTCTCGTTTCTCTCAAACATATTCTAGAGACCCACACTGCAAAATTTCTTTTTCGTCTGTTGTCCCTGTTCCATCTGGTACATCTTCTCCTTCTTCTGATACTTCTCTGGTAAGTGTATCCAATACTCATTTAATGGCTACTCGTGCTAAGGCTGGTGTCTGTAAACCTAATCCTAAATATGCGCATCATGCGTTGGTTTCTACTGATGATTCGTTTGAGCCTACATTTTTCTCGCAGGCTAATAAGCTTAAGGAATGACGTCTTGCCATGGCAGATGAGTTTAATGCTCTTCTTCGTGCTGGGACTTGGATTTTAGTTCCTCGTACTCCTGCTATGAATGTATTGCCCAACAAGTGGGTTTTTTGGGTCAAGCGGAATTCTGATGGCACTATTCAGCATTATAAGGCTCGCTTGGTGGCCAATGATTTTTATCAGCAACCAGGCCTTGACTATAGTGAAACCTTTAGTCCTGTTGTTAATCATTCTACTATTCGCCTTATCTTGGCTCTTTCTGTGCAGTTCAGTTGGCATGTTCATCAGTTTGATGTTCAGAATGCCTTTTTACATGGCTATCTTGATGAGGAGGTTTATATGCGCCAGCCTGTCGACTTTGTTGATCCTACATATCCTAATCATGTCTGCCACTTAAGACGCTTCCTTTATGGTCTTAAGCAAGCCCCTCGCACTTGGTTCCACTGTTTCTCTTCTCACCTGCTTCGCTTGGGTTTTATTGCTTCTCAGTCTGATTCGTTTCTCTTTGTGTACACTCAAGCTCTATTCACATTTATTTGTTGATTTATGTGGACGATATTCTTGTTATTGGCTCCGATCCTCCTCGCATCACCACCCTTATCTCTGACTTTGGCCACCAGTTCTCTATGAAGGATCTTGGCCCCGCCAACTATTTCTTGGGCATGGAGCTTGTTCGTACTCCATCTGGGCTTTCTATTACTCAGACCAAGTATGTCGTCGACCTTCTCAAGTGTGTTAACATGCATAAAGCTAAACCTGTGCCAACCCCAGCTATTAGTGGTCGTCGTCTTAGCATTTCTGATGGGGATCCTCTTTCTGATCCCACTGAGTACCGTAGTACAGTTGGGGCTCTTCAGTTCTTAACTCTCACTCATCCAGATATTGCATTTGCTGTTAATCAGGTGTGTCAATTTATGCATCAACCCACTACTGCTCATTGGCTCGCTGTCAAACGTATTCTTCGTTATCTGAATGGCACACTCACTCATGGGTTATTCTATTCACCTAGCACTCTCTTTCTCAGTGCGTTCTCTGATGCCGATTATGCGGGGAATCCTGATGACCGTCGCTCCACTGGCGGTTATCATGTTTACTTGGGTACTAACTTAATCTCCTGGAGTTCTAAGAAGCATTGCGGTGTCTCACGCTCTAGTACTGAGGTGGAATACCATCAGCTTGCCTACACTGCCACCACTCTCTCATGGTTCCGTGCTTTATTTCAAGATCTTCATCTTCCCGCTCCTTGTCCCAAGCTTTGGTGTGATAATATTAGTGCTCTTTCTCTCGCTTTTAATCCTGTTTTTCACTCTCACACTCGTCATGTGGAGGTGGATTATCATTATGTTCGTGAACGGGTGGTCTGGAATGAGTTACTCGTTGCGTATTGTTCTACGGTTGATCAGCTTGCTGACATTTTTACTAAAGGCTTATCATCTGCCCGGTTCTCCTTACTCCAGTCCAAGCTGCCTGTGCCTCACCGCCCCGTCAGCTTGCGGGGGTGTAATGGACGTTAATGCTGATATGATTAAGATATGATTTACTTGCCAATTATATGTATTTATGTCTGTATATTCCTTACCTAGAATAGGAGATATGTTATGTAATCACCAAGTAATGGCTGTGTATATATTTTCCTATACTGTTTATCAATGAAAAGTATCGAAGAGATTCAAATTCTTTCAGTTCCTTCGCTTCCTCAGTACCCTAAATTTTGTTGAACACTAACAAGTCTCATAATGGTTGGAATTAGGGAAGCATTTTTCTTGGTTAGGTCTTTCATTAGGGTTGAATATGATGAGTAGGGTGTACTTATTAAAATTACATTTGTTTTGCAATTCAATATATATTTTTGGTCATTTTAGATTAGGGTAAATTAGTAATTCAATAAATATTTTGGTAGTATGGTGTACTCAATTAATTTTAGGGTTCGTTTAGCAACACTCTTTCATATTTCTGTTGTTGGCTTTTATGTTTACAGCCTCATTTGCCATTTTAAACCCACCCATTTTGTGGGTGCATACTTAGAAGGAGCAGACTATATATGCAGATTGGGTTTCAATTTGATTTCCCTAGAGATGCTGAAAGCAAACAGCCTTCAAAGGTTGTTTCTTTCCCCCTTTTTTAGTGTGATAGAAGTTCCGTGGAGTTCATAATTGCATAAAAGGAGTCAAAGTAGTGGCTGTGGCGGGTGGAGGCACTTCTTGGAAGGGCCCCGTCCGCCGGATCTAGAGAATTCATGTTCCGGCAGGCGGGCGAGACAGAATGGTTTCCACAATATATGCAAAATTATTTCAAATACCAAGAGGAAGCAAAAGTGGTTTCCCATCCATAAGAAAAAATTTCATTGATTACTGTCATTTTACAACAAAAAATCCAAAATTGGCTGTTTCTTTTCAACCTCTAGAGAATTAACTATCTTCTATCTAATAGACCCCCTACAAATTGAGGATACAGTGCAAACACCAGCTGATGTTGTGAGGGGAATATCTCTGTAGCAGGCCACTAGGTCAGTGTTAGTATGCAGATCCACTTGCAAGCTCTCCCACACTTTCTTCTTGGGGTTCAACATCTCATCAGGCTCACCTGCGAACCCCGGAAATGTAACTCTCTCGCCAACATGAGCTGCTTTAGGCGGATTTACCAATTCAACCGTGGAGTGGTCACTGTTCGAAGCAGCAAGAACCGTTTCTTGTGATTTAATACCCCTCATGGTTGCTGGCTTCAGATTGCAAAGAACACAGACCTTCCGGTTCTGCCACAGAAAAATTAATATAGGTGCTCCTAAAAGTGAAGGAAATTAATTCAAATTTTATTGTTAAAAATTTCTGTAGATACAAACACAAACCTGCATTTCTTCAATAGGTATATACTTGACAAGTCCACTCACAACTGTTCTAGTATGTCCTTCACCAACATCAATCTCATGTACGTAAAGCGAAACAGCATCAGGATGCTTCTGAGCTTTTGTAATGAGGCCAACACGAATATCTAGTCTAGAAATGGAAATCTCTGCTTCAGCTGCAGATTTTGTGGCCTGTTTCTTTTTCTTTCCACTGTTGTCTGTTACAAAAATGGATTATTAGAATAGATGGTATAGGATTGTTTTCAAGTATGAGTGCCCAAACGTAAGGAAATTCTAACCTGAAACTTTCGTTTTCTTGAGTTGTGCAGCCGCCTTCACTGCTTCAGCTTCTTCCCTCTCCTTCCTGTCCGCTTGACTTCCAGCAGACTTCTTCCTTAAGGATTCCACTTCTTCATCTTTCTGTGTCCAAGTACAAACTTTCACAAAATTATAATCTAAAATAGGCAAGTGATGCAGCAATCATATCATGGCAGGCTAGAGAGTCCAACATTGAAAGACAAAGCGCATCAAAGACATACCAATTCCTTGAACAATGGCTCTGCTTTCTCAATCTTGTGACCAACAGGTACAATCTCCCAAGGTCGTCTTGCCCTATCAATATCTCCTTTATCATCACAAAGTGATATGTGCATCTCAGAGAGATTAAATTAAGCTTGCCTTAAATACCTTGAATACAAAAAAAAAAAAACAAAAAAAAAAAAAAAAAACATGGATGATTATAGTAATATCACATGATCAAAGAAATATTTCAGAGTAACAAACAAGAAGATGCATAGTCCGACTGAAGTTCTGATAACAACAGCGCAACGGGGCTTGTCCTCCTTGTAAAGCTTCCAGAACTGGCTTTCCTGCATGGTAATTACAGATGATGCAACTTAGCAGCAGCTGAACAATTGATTAAAAACGTGCTTACTTGCAGGTATGCATTCCCTTCACGAGAAATGCTCATTGCTGTTTTCAGTCCTTGCTTTAGTTTAACCTACACAAAATGTAGATAGGAATGTCATGCCAATGCAAGACACATGTGAAAAAAGAAGGTGGGGAGAAGAAGCTTCCAGTCATTTGCAACAAGACTGTCATCTAAATATCAATTACCTTTTCCATTGCTTCTATATATTGCTCCACATATTTTCCAACTTTTCAGCTAATTTCTCTGTTAAAATATCTGACTGCAGTTGGAGCATCTGGAATAATGGAACCATATCCTTGACCTGTACATGGATTTTTATTAAAACGAAAGGCTGACCGACCTAAAGGTTTGGCAACAAAACTCAAAACTCGATTTATGAAGTTGCCCAAATTATTCAGCAATTCACTGTTCAGTTTTGCTTGCAAGTCGGCCCACGTAAATAATGTGTCTGATACCTATTTCGTCAAAAAACAAAATATTATAAAACGAGTAAACAAAGATACAGAGAAAGAAGGATATGAATTACGAACCATCATCCAAAAATAAAAAAAAGAGACAAAAGGAAGATGGGAATCACTATGGTTACCTCAGGCCTATTAGTTAGCAAGTAATATCTCCATACTTCAACAGGAATGTTTGTATCTTTTGTATCGTGTAACACCCCGACTCCAAATTTAATCCTTTATTTAATTTATTTAAGTGAAATTACGAATATACCCTTGGTTAGGGGTATTTTGGTCATTTTCTCATTTGGGAAGAGTTTGGGGCAGTGACTGGTATTTTTGGGTTGGTCGTACTGAGACGAATCTGTAGACATGCGGTAGACTTGAATCGGAGTTGTAACGACGATTTGGCGACCAAAATAAGTTCAGTGGCAAACTTGTAAATATTCTGAGAAGAGTAAGAGTAAAAATCTGATTTTTCACTTTCTACCTCACTCTCTCTCTCCTCGCACACGCACGTTCAGCCTTCTCTCTCTCCTCACTCTCGACTCCAATCACTCTCTCTCTTAGATTCTCTCACTTCCGGCCACCCCATCTGACGAGACCGGTCCCGATCGACTCCTCTCGAAGCCCCGAACCAGAACCACCAGTTTTCCCCACCGGAAAACTCGAATCCCGCCGGAAATAACGACTGGTTTTTCTCCGGTTTTTTCCGTCGTTGCGCCGCCGTCTCCGCAGCCCGATCCCGGTCAAACAGGTGAGGGTTCTTCTTCTTTTTACTTGTTCTAGCTGTCTGTTGCATAGGATTGGATCGATTTTAAGTTTGGGAAACCGATTTTGGAATCTAGGTTTTGGCCGGTTTTCAAAGTGAATTCCGGCCGGTTGCCGTACGAATTGGACCTTCCCGTAGTTGAATGAATTGATCCTTGCCTCGAGTAGTACCTAGGGTAGGAAGGGTGAGCTGTGGTGTGGAGTTTTTTCCGTCGCCGGAAATTACTCTACACACCCACGCCCTGCCGGCGCGTGTGGCGGCGCATGGGCAAGGTGTTGGGGCCGCATTTCGATTCTGTTCTAATCTTTGTGTTGTCACGAGCGCGTAGGTGTGCTCGGATTCCAATTCGGAGGTCGTTTGACTATCGAACGGATTTCGCATATTGTGCGTTATCCGGGTTCGATAGGTTCTGACCGTTGGATTGTTTCCAAATTAAAATATGTTAATCTAGGCACTCCTAGAATCGTATAGGAATTAGCGGATCGTGAATCGGAGCCCCGGATGTTCCGATTCAATAATTCAAAGTTTGTGGGTTAGCGATAACTGTTCATTTGTGAACGATTCCTAAACCTGTAACTGGACCTTAGGATGTCTCGTTCTACGTACACGCACATGGAACTTGGGGAATTTAGTATTTAATTTGTGATTTCCGTTTGGAAGTGATTCTATATTAATTAAGGGTTCGTATCTCAAAATAGGTGCTTAGGTTGATTGTACACAGCAGGCGGGACCCTCTCAGGGTTGTGCAGCTTGGGACTATCTGTGAGTGGACTTTGTTTTCAATCATACGCATGGTTTTATTGATGAAAGATTTGTGCATATGTTTTAAATGGTATATGTGATATGATATATATTCAAATGTTGAATTTGATGTTCTTATTATAGTTCTTTGGCAATATATTGTGGGCGTTGATATATTTGAGTATCGTGAGTACGTTTATTTGGATTTTGGGAAATTCTATCCTTATTGTCTATGTGTTGGGGTATTGAGTTGTTGAGATGAGATTATGGAAGGATATGTGTAGGAGGGGATTGTTGAGAGAAAGTGTATGATGACACTATGTAAGTACCATCCCCTGTTACTAGGCTTTCCACACGTGGCGTTGGTAGTTCCGGCGTATGAGAAGAACATGTGAATATTAGTCTCACACGTGGCGTTGGTAGTTTTGGCATGTGAGACACTTCCCATATGTGGCGTTGGTAGTTCCGGCGTATGGGAAGAGTATGTATATTGCTTGGAATCATCACACATGGCGTTGGTAGTTCCAGTGTGATGATGATGTTAGTTTGCGTGCATAGGACTTGGTATTTGAGCTACATGTGACGTTGGTATTTCCGGCGTGGGAGCTATGGAGTTTCATACCCCGGTTGGACCGCTCATCCCTAGACGCAGGATAGTACCAGGAAATCCTGCGGGCTAGCCAAACAATCCCCTGGTTGGATTGTTTACCTGGTACCTAAGTAGTGTGAGGAGTATTATGTATATTTATAGCTATATAATTATGATTATACCAAAAACCCCTATGCCTTTACTCTTAGAAAATTTTCCTATGAAAAGCATCAAAATTTAGATCACCTAGTACATATCGCACAATGGCGAAAACTTAGAGCTTTTATAAATAATGTATTCTAGAAGCATGCATCCATACCTGCTTCGTAGTTTAAGTACATAGTCTTCATTAAAGTCCAATTTTCACCAGTTCCAAGAAGGGTTGATCGAAACATCAGCTGAAAGATAAATAAATAAGTACATTGTTGAAATAAATTCTTTTTTGAAGCAAGAAATGCTGAGTATAGGATACTTACTGTGTGGAATGCCATGTTATCCTTGCCCATAAACTGATACAACTCTACATTCTCAGGATTTTTCCACCATTTCTCCCATTCATCAGTGTAGCATTTAGTAATTGATACATATCCAATTGGAGCATCAAACCACACATAGAAAATCTACCAATAACAGAGTTAGAACAAAGTAACAAATGTACCTCTCTCGCCAACCTGAGCTGCTTTAGGCGGATTGACCAATTCAGCCGTGGCGTGGTCACTGTTCAAAGCAGCAAGAACCATTGCTTGTGATTTAATACCCCTCATGGTTGCTGGCTTAATATTGCAAAGAACACAGACCTTCCAGTTCTGCCACAAAAAAGTTAATAGAAATAAACTTAATGGATAAGTAGGTGCTCTTAAAAGCTACGGAAATTAATTCGAATTTTATTGTTGAAAATTCTGTAGATGCAAACACAAACCTGATTTTCTTCAATAGGTATATACTTGACAAGTCCACTCACAACTGTTCTAGTCTGTCCATCACCAACATCAATCTCTTGTAGGTGAAGCGAATCAGCATAAGGATGCTTCTGAGCTTTCGTAATGAGGCCAACACGAATATCAAGTCTAGAAATGGAAATCTCTGCTTCAGCTGCAGATTTTGTGGCCTGTTGCTTTTTCTTTCCACTGTTGTCTGTTACAAAAATGGATTATTAGGATAGATATATATTTATGTTAGCAATAACTAATGAATGGTATATGATTGTTTTCAAGTATGAGTTTAGCTTGTGGACTAGACCAACATGCAGAAATTCTAACCTGAAACTTTCATTTTCTTGAGTTGTGCAGCCACCTTCACTGCTTCAGCTTCTTCCCGCTCCTTCCTGTTCGCTTGACTTCCAGCAAACTTCTTCCTGAAGGACTCCACTTCTTCATCTTTCTGTGTCCAAGTACGAACTTTCACTAAATTAGAATCTACAAATAGGCAAGTGATGCAGCAATCATATCATGGCAGGCTAGAGAGTGCAACATTGAAAGACAAAGCACATCAAAGACATACCAATTCCTTGAACAATGGCTCTGGTTTCCCAATCTTGTGACCAACATGTACAATCTCCCAAGGTCGTCTTGCCCTATCAATATCTCCTTTATCATCACAAAGTATATGTGCTTCTCAGGAGGTAAATTAAGCTGCTTAAATACCTTGAATGCAGTTAAAGAAAATATATATATATATATATATATATCAGCATGGATGATTATAGTAATATTACATGATCAAAGAAATATTTCAGAGTAACACAATCATCTACGAACAGAATTTATTACTTGGAGAGAAAATGATGGCATAAAATGTTCTAACAAACAAGCAAGAAGATGCACTAGTCCGACTGAAGTTTTGATGACAAAAGCGCAACGAGGTTGGTCCTCCTTGTAAAGCTTCCAGAATTGGCTTTCCTGCATAGTAATTACAGATGATGCAACTTAGCAGCAGCTGAATAATCGGTTTCACAGATAATTCCAAGCGATATACTTAACAAAAGAACATATCCATAAACAAGTCTCTCAAACAGGGATTAAAAACGCACTTACTTGCAGATATGCATTCCCTTCACCAGAAATGCTCATTGCTGTTTTCAGTCCTTGCTGTAATTTAACCTACACAAAATGTAGATAGAATGTCATGCCAATGCAAGACACATGTGAAAAAGGAAGGTGGGGAGGAGACGCTTCCAGTCATTTGCAACAAGACTGTCATCTAAATATCAATTACCTTCTCCATTGCTTCTATATATTGCTCCACATATTTTCCAACTTTTTCAGCTAATTTCTCTGTTAAAATATCTGACTCTGCCCTTGTAGCATCTGGAATAATTGAACCATATCCTTGACCTGTACATGGATTTTGTTAGTTTATATGCTGCATGTTAAAACGAAATGCTGACCGACCTGAAGGTTTGGCAACAAAACTCAAAACTCGGTTTATGAAGTTGCCCAAATTATTCAGCAATTCGCTGTTCAGTTTTGCTTGCAATTCGGCCCATGTAAATAATGTGTCTGATACCTATTTCATCAAACGAGTAAACAAAGATACAGAGAAAGAACGATATGAATGTTGTTTCTCCATACTTCAACAGGAATGTTTATATCTTTTGCTTCGTTTCCAAAAACTCCTATGCCTTTACTCTTAGAAAACTTTCCTGTGAAAACCATCAAAATTTAGATCACCTAGTACATATTGCACAAAGGCGTAAACTTTGAGATTTTATAAATAAAGTATTCCAGAATCATGCATCCATACCTGCTTCGTAGTTTAAGTGCTCAGTAACACTAATAGTCTTCATTAAAGTCCAATTTTCACCATTTCCAAGAAGTGTTGACGGAAACATCACCTGAAAGATAAATAAATAAGTACACTGTTGAAATAAATTCTTTTTCGAACAAGAAATGCTGAGAATACAATTCTTACTGTATGGAATGGCATGTTATCCTTGCCCATAAACTGATACAACTCCACATTCTCAGGATTTTTCCACCATTTCTCCCATTCATCAGTGTAGCATTTAGTAATTGATACATATCCAGTCGGAGCATCAAACCACACATAGAAAACCTACCAATAACAGAGTTAGAACAAATGTAACAAATTTTGAAAATCATTAACAATGAATTCTGGAATAGAACCTTTGAGAATGTTGCTAGAAATATTGAGTGAGAGAAGCTCCTTAAGGTTCCCAATGAATTCTGGAATCTTACCTTCAAATTTGTTGCTTGAGATATCAATCGCTGCAAAGCCTTCTAGAATCTTTGAATAGTGCAAATCCAAACCTTTAATTGCTCATGTGATTGAGTAAGCAACATATCGTGTAAGAAAAATACCAGCGGTCACATAGTGTACTCGTGCCTGCATGTATGTTGACATGTTTACAGCAATATTTGGAAACAAAGGTGGAATCTCACCTGTGAAATTGTTGTAAGACAAATGAAGAATGCATAACTTGGAGAAGTCAACATTTGTTCTAAACTGTCCTATCACATTGTTAAACCCATTATGGTGCATTGCCAAAAGTTTTAACTTTGGAAGAGTTCCCAACCAAATGGGAAAAACATCACTGAATTGATTGTTTGACAAAATCAGATACTTAAGGATTACACAATTCGCCAATGACCTCGGTAATTGCCCATGCAATTGGTTATGACTAACATCAATCATCCTTAAACTGCTTCTGTTGTTGAATGGTTGAGGCATCATTCCATGAAAAGAGTTGCTTCCAAGAAGTAAAAGCAGTAGACCCACACTAAAGTTTCTGAGACACTGAGGAAGCGTGCTAGTCAAATTATTTTTCGACAAGTCAAGGTACAGGAGAGAATTCATATTGCAAAGCAATGGTGAAATTTTTTCCAGTAAATTTGTTGTTATTGGCTCCATATTCGTGGAGGGATTGGTAATCGTTCATGAAAAATGTTGTTTGAAAGTCTCAAAGACCGCAGGTTAACCCAGGGCATGACAGCTGGAAGTTCTCCTGAAAATAAGTTTCCATAAATGTCCAGGAGTACCAAAGTTTCCTTGCTTAAATTCCACATCCAGTTTGGTACTTCGCCACCGATTTTGTTGTCTGCTAGATCCAACCGCTCCAAATTTTTCTAATTTTGTAGGAAATATGGGAACTCTTTTAAATTGCATGAACTCAAATCCAAAACGGTGAACTGCCGAAGAGCTGTGTTCATAATATTAGATCCAGTAACAAATTCAAAGTTGTTCGAACTCAATTGGAGTTTGTAGAGATTTTGTTGCTTATGAAACATTTGAAACTCCACAGCACCGCTCAGGTTATTTGACTGTAGACAAAGGATCCTAAGATTGATGAGATTGGAAAATGAGGCTGGAATTGAACCACTCAAATGATTAAAAGAAAAATGTAGTTCAACTATTTTGGTAAGGTTACCTAGCCAAGATGGAATTGGACCAGTTAAAGAATTTGTACCAACTCTAAACACAGTCAATTGGGTAAGGTTTGCCAAGGAATCAGGAATTGGACCAGTTAAAGAATTCGCATTAGCTCTGAACAGTCACTTGGGTAAGGTTTGCCAAAGAATCAGGAATTGGACCTCCAAATTTGCTTGCTGAGATGTCTAGGTAAGTGAGCTGTCTAAGATTTCCAAGTGCAGATGGAACCAACGAGTTTGAAAAATTGCATTGAGCGACATCCAACTTTTGCAATGAATTGAGCTTTTGAATCGAAGAAGGTATGGTTTCGAAAAAACTAGTAAACCCAACTTTCAGTGGGACGAGAGGACTACTTCGATTAAATTCGGGCCAATATCCAGTGAGATCTTGGTTGTGTCTCACATCAAGAACCTTTAAGTTCTATAGATTGAAAATTCTCACTAGGAATTCGCCAAACAGTGCACAATCCTTGAGGGCAAGAGATGTCAAAAATGATAAATTTGTCAAGAAAACGGGTATGATCGAAGATATGTTAATAAAATTGAGAGAAAGAGTTTCTAGACTATTTAAATTTTGAACTAGACTTGTCATATCGGATGGTTGAAGTTTCAACAATCAATGAGGATCATCAAGAGATGTTTCAATTTCAAGAATATTGCAACACAGATTAAGGTGTGTCAACTTGGACAAGTGTGAAACTTCATATGGGACTTGACCAGAAAAGAAAGAGGCAGAGATGTCAAGATGAATGAGGCTTGGAAAATTTCTTATGCTAAAAGGAATTTGAGAGTAATTGAAGTTATTGTGTGAGAGGCTTAACCTTTGAAGATGCACCAGGCTGAACACACTACTATTTGAGTCGAATGAGCTATATAGATAACTGCTACTGAGATTAAGGCCAATAACATGACCCTTCATCTCGTCACACTCCACTCCATCCCACGAGCAGCAACTGCTATTTCCTCCTGCAGCCGGTTTCCATGATGAAACCTTCGGATAAGCACCTTTAGAACGTGAAGCAGATTTGTCAATAATAAAGCTCTCCTTAAACTACAGCAAGGCAGAGCTCTCCTTGGCATGGCAAGATAGTTGCTGCAAAAAGTCTACAAAGGTTGCGACCACAAGATGAAACAACAATAGAACTAGTAGTTTCGAGAGCATGTGAATGGACAGGTTCCCCATAATGTTTTGATATTGTTTCGTTGCACTCTTTGCTAAAGAACCATATATGAAAGTTCAAGCTAAAGAGCTATCTAGTTATAGACTGGCATGATCAAATGGTTGAGCAATAACATACACGTGTCAAGTAACAATTTAATAATATTTGACATTTTGATCAAGGGGAATGCTAGCAACCTTATCTCTACCCTTCTCTTTTGGACCTTCTTCCTTCTTCTCATGACAAGTGTCACTTTCCTTATACTTAAAAGAATGTCATTAATGCATCTCACAAACTAGTTTTTTTTTCTTTCCAAGTTTACCCTTATTAAATATTCTTTTTATAAACAGGTCTTACTTGAGCATAGCCCTCTTAAGCTAAATAATCATCTATGAAAGTGAAATAGCTATCTATTTATGGATGGCATAATGAAATGGCATTGCATATATACTTGTATAGTAAATAAGAGTTATTTACACTAACATTCCTTTAGGTTTTCTACTTTTTTACAAAACTCATTTTTATTGATTTTTCATATCCAAAGATATTTGTACAAAACAAATCTTCAAATGACAAAGTTGACCTTTGAGATTAGATTGCACACATTTTATTGAGGTACTTTTGTCATTTGCATAAGTTTTTTTTCAATGAAATTATCAAATTTTGGACAAATAATCCACGAAAAGGGGTTTTGTGAAAACAAACTAAAACCTCAGGAGGTGTTCATGTAATTTTTGTGACATGAGGGGATTTTATGAAAACATAAAAAACCTTAGTGTTCTTCATCAAGAGATAATATTTATTGACATTTTGATCAATAAAGAAGTGATTGGAAATTAATAATAATAATAATAATAATAATAATAAACTCGACCTTCCAAAGTTACGTTGAAGGGGCTTTGTAACAAACATGGACGTCACCATGTGCTTTGGACTTAAAGTGAATTAATAGGGGGTTAATTTTTGTAATTTCCGGGAGAGAGAGAGAGAGAGAGAGAGAGAGAGAGAGAGAGAGAGAGAGAGAGAGAGAGAGAGAGAGAGAACGGAAGGGACTTAGAATAAATTCCAAACAAGATGGGAATGGGAAACAACGATGCTTTGACATTTGTATATACTTACATTGCCAGAGCATGTGCAGACTTCAAGTGAGTAATTGCTTCACTTGACTCCAAGTCAAATCATCCAATTACTCCGTAAATAAGGCATTCTGATTCAGATACATGTTATTTGATCTTTGTTATGCCTCAAAACTACATATATAGTTCCAAACTTATTTGACGTCAAGTCATCCTCCAATGACCTAATAGTAATATGTTAAGAGATAAGTACCGCACTTAATCATATCATATGTCTCGCGCTGGGCCATGCCATCTGTGCTTTGCCTTTTGCTAATCGTATCATACGATACAAGGCAGCCATTTGGTTTTCGACATCACCTTTCCATTCAATATACTACCTAGTGTGTTGTTGGTTGCACTTTGGTTTTGCATGGGTAGTGTTGTGATAGTTTTCTTGTTATGGTCAAACAGGTAGTCAATTTTAAGTCTTCGTATTTCAATCCTTTTGGTGAATTCTAAAGTGTATATCAATAGTTTTAGCCTTCATCTTCACAAAATTGAAGTTAAAATAAAAATACTTTTGAGGTCGGTTTCATTGTCGTGGCTTTCTCCCCATTCTCAATTACCTCCTGAGAATTCACCAGCCATAGAAATTAGATAAGCGTTGAACCAGGAAAACAGAACAGGAGCTTGATTTGGAGAGAGAGAGAGAGAGAGAGAGAGAGAGAGAGAGAGAGAGAGAGAGAGAGAGAGAGAGGGAGAGAGAGACTTAATTAAAACGGCAGGGGAGGAAGACTGGTTGAAAAAAAGAAAAAGAAAAAAAGAAAAGAGGGTTGGAAGCGAGTGAGAACGGAAGGGACTCCCAATTTCAAACAAGATGGGGATAGGGAACATATGCTTGACTTCAAATATAAGTTAATTCATTCTTATTAGAGTTGTAGCTAGGGTTGTTTATCCACGTTGTACTCTTATGTATCTGAGATTTACCAAATTTCTATCTCTCTGCATTTGGCTTTTTATGGAATTAATTTTGGAAACAAGATAATTAAGGGGAAGAAACAAGAACTAACAACGACAAGCTGATGCACCAACAAGACTCGTAAGACTATTTAATTAATTAATTTTACATAAGGGGTTTAATAATTAAAAGTTGTTTGGATAATATGAAGTATTGGGCTGCTGTGTTCAGTTTTCATTCAAGGCAATTACATAACATTGAGGAATTAAATATGGTCAATAGAATAATATGAAAATCAGCGCCCAAATCGTATTTGAAAAGTGCATATTATTAAATTAAAATACATGAATGGGAACTAATGGACATAAGGGTGCCAACTTGAACTGCTATATTTTTCCGTTTCTAATGGACTAATTTATTGTGTCAAAACTTAACTTAGGGGACAAATCTGGATCAATACATAGTGTGTGTGTTTTTAGTCTTCATGAAGTTGTCCAATTATCCCATAGAAAAGGCATTCAGATATATCTTTTTTTTTAATTTAAATTTTTTATTTTGGGTTATCTACTGTATACGTCTCTAAACTTGGCCCCCAGTTGCAATTGGGTCCCCAAACCTTTTTTTTTAGGCAATTAGGTCATCCAACTCTCTCATTCGTTCCAATTGAGTCTTTCCGCCAATTTGGCTATTAATTTGAGGGCTGAAACCGTCCATTTCAATTAAAATATCCCTCTCTAGCAACCCATTCCCCCTCCTTATCCCAACCCCTCCCCCCCCCCTCCTCTCAAAACCCAGATCGCAACCCAGCTTGCAACCCACCCCCCATCTCCCAACGTGTAACCCATCTTTTACCCCTTTCGTTACATGGCTTAAACTCTTTAATAGAGTTATGTCTTGTAGGCTACTGGTGGTTAACTAGGATGCAATCCCGAAGGATCTATGTAGCATAATTTCCTTAGAAGATCTGCTTCTTGGAGGCAATGACTTTCGTAGCCTGCCAAGCCTCGCTGGTCTTTCAAAGCTCAAGGTCTTGTCTTTAAATGCATGCAAAAAACTTCTTGCAATCCCAGATTTACCAACCAATTTGTATGTTTGAAAGCAAATGGTTGCCTAGAATTGAAAATAA